AGTATCTCCAAAGCCTCTGTGAGTCAGCCAGTCAGGCAGCAAGCATCTCTGAGAACATACTGGCCGAGGAACAACAGGGAACAAGACAGGCAAGGCCACACACGGAGACATATTGCAAAAAAGTTAGTAGGCAGGCTTGTTTCCAGTAGGGAAAAAATAAAAGGCTGGAGTGGTGAAGTGCATATCTAGCATGCATGGGCCCTGGGTTCAGTCCCTGCAGTGGAAAATAAAAATTAACGAGAGAAAAAGGGAGATGTCGGGGTGGGTAGCTCAGTGATAGAACTCACACTTAGTATGCAGGAGGCCCTAGGTTCAATCCTCACCATAGAAAAAGAGAGATTGAGGATGGAATCAATGCAATACACATAGATACAGGGAAAGAGAATTACTGTGAGGGCTTGGCTCACACCATTACAGAGGCTAGGAAGTCCCACAATCTGCTGTCTTCAAGCTAGAGGCCTGGGAGAGCTGCTGTACTTTAATCCAGGTCCCAAGGCTGGCACCCAGCTGCACTGATGTCCAAGGGCAGATGGCCCACTCAAGCAGAGAGCAAGATGCCATCCTCCACCTTCTTGTTCTGCCCAGGCCCTCAAGGGATTGGGTGGTGCCCACCTTAGTGGTGAGGGTGGTCATCACCATCCCATCTCTTCCTCCTCCTGATTCTGAGGATTGAACCTAATGCCCTTGCATTGACCTGTATCCCAGCCCTTTTTTATTTTCTAAGCTGAGCCTGGATTTGCTATCCTTTGGCCTCACCATGTCCAGTGGGGGTGATCTTTCTTTACTGTCTGCCCACTCGGGCTGAGCTTGTCCAGAAATCTCTCTCTCTCTCAGACACACCCAGAAGCGGTGCTCTCATAGCTCCCCTGGGCACCCCTTAGTCCAACCAGGTTGGCACATAAAGCCAGCCACCCAAGAAAGATCGCTGTTTGCACAGGGATGGCCTGAGTGAAAAGCTGAGGTTGAACTGTCCCCGCTGTGGTAAGGAGAAGGCACCCAGATCACACACTGGCTGGGCACAAGGCCAGGAACAAAGACAAAATGCTGGAACATTGTGGCACAGGACAGACCAGGGGCCCAGTCATCTGGAGTAGAGCAAGTACAGGGTTAATGGCAAAGGCCCAGGGGCCCAAAGAGCCAGCATAAGGGATCCAGTTTGGGGGTGTGGTCCCCAGTGCTGGGGATGACCCCAGGGTCACACGCACTAAGCACACACTCTGCCACTAAGCTGTATCCAGCCCCGGGGTTTCATTTGAAACACTATCAGGAAGACCTTGTAGGGCTATGAGCTGAGCAGTGCTGCCATGAGATGAACCTCTTCCTTCTGGCTGCTGCGCAGGGAAAAAGGCAGGGAAGGCCAGTGCAAAGGGGGTGGGGGGCAGGGCTCGGAAGGCTGAGATGGTCACAGTGGGGGCCACATGGTAAAGATATGAAGATATGGCTGCTGGTGTGTGCTTATGAGTTTAAGGGCACAAGGCTGACTCCCAAGTCTGTTCCTCTACCATGTACCCCAGGGTTACCACCAGCCCCGGACACCTCAGCTGTCACACTAGCAGGGGATACCGACAAATAACCACACAGTGGTAGCAAACACCAGTACAGAGCCAGAGTACATTCAGAGTGTGGTGGGAACGTCCTCAGGGAACTGATCGCCCAGGGCTGGGAATCAAGAGGAAGGCTGGGAGGGGCCCAGGGAGCCAGCCAGGAAGGCCTTACAGAGGGCCACCAGTGCCAAGCCAAGGAGTGAAAACTGCGTCTTGATAGCCATGGGGGCTACAGAAGGATTTGCAGCAGGGACAGGTCTCGACTGGAGCTGGAAGGACCCCTTCAACTCAAGGGAGAGGGTGTCAGAATGGAGCTTTGGAGGCTGGGAGCCACTCCGACCACTACCCAGTAACCAAGTGGCTTCTCTCCACCCAGTGACTCCTGTGGACTGTGGTGGTGGCAGTAGCAGTGGCAGCAGCAGTGGTGGCAGTGGGACATGGGGCCGCACTGGGCCCCCAAAGAAGGAAGAACTGGTTGGGGGCAAGAAGAAGGGCCGGACTTGGGGGCCCAGCTCCACACTGCAGAAGGAGCGGGCTGGAGGAGAAGAGAGGTACTGGGGTGGTACCCCCCTACGTCCCCCTACACCCCCCCACCCTGTGCCCGCCCACCCCCAGGGCAGCCACAGGGCTGACCATCTCCCTGCGTTCCCTGCAGGCTCAAGGCCCTGGGGGAAGGAAGCAAACAGTGGTCATCAAGTGCCCCCAACCTAGGCAAATCCCCCAAACACACCCCCATCGCCCCCGGCTTTGCCAGCCTCAATGAGATGGGTAAGAAGTGCGTGCTTGTTGCCAAGAGGAGGGAGGAGGAGCTGTGGCCAAAGGGGAACATAACCCAGGGCAAAGGAGTGAGCCAGTCCCAGGGCTGGGTAGGGGTAGGATTTCACCTGGGCAGTGAGCAGGAGCCATTTCTAGAAAGGTGGATGGCTTGTGCCTGGGTGGTGTGGAGGTCATTTCCAGAGCAAGGAGAAGAAAGATTCAACAAAGATGCTTAATGGGATTTTGGGATCTTGCTGTTGGAGTCAATGGCTTGCCACCGAGTTCACATGGGACCAAGGGCCAGACCTGCAGCCAGTGACGCCCCTCTCCGGTTACAGAGGAGTTCGCGGAGGCTGACGGAGGCAGCAGCGTGCCCCCTTCCCCCTACAGCACCGCCTCCTACCTCGCGGTGCCGCTGCCCAACGAGCCCTCCCCAGGGGCGCGGGCGCTTTGGGACCCGGCACCGGCCACGCCCTCGGCCCGGCCAGGCCACGGGCGGCGGCGCTGCGACCTGGCGCTGCTGGGCTGCGCCACGCTGCTGGGCGCCGTGGGTCTCGGCGCCGACGTGGCCGAGGCGCGCGCGGCCGACGGCGAGGAGCAGAGGCGCTGGCTGGACGGCTTCTTCCCCCGCGCCGGCCGCTTCCCGCGGGGCCTCAGCCCACCCGGGCGCCTTCAGGGCCGCCGCGACGACGCGGCCCACGGCCCAGGCCTGGCGCCCTCGACCACCCTCGTGTCGCTCTCGTCCGTCTCCGACTGCAACTCCACGCGTTCACTGCTGCGCTCCGACAGCGACGAGGCCGCTCCGGCTGCGCCCTCCCCGCCCTCGCCCTCGCCTTCGCCTCTGCCCTCGCCCTCGGCCTCGCCCGGCACCAACCCCCTAGTGGACCTGGAGCTGGAGAGTTTCAAGAAGGACCCCCGCCAGTCACTCACGCCCACCCACGTCACAGCCGCGCGCCCTGTGAGCCGAGGACACCGGCGGACGCCGTCGGATGGGGCGCTGGGGCAGCGGGGGCCACCGGAGCCCGCAGGCCACGGCCCTGGTGAGTGGGGGAGAGAGGGAACGCACACACCCAGGGCCCCTCAGGACTGGCGTGGGAGGGACGGCAGCGATGTCGGTCGGAGGCCTTCACAGACAGGAGGGGGGACCCCGGTGACAGGCGCAGGGTGAATTAGGGGTGGCAAACTAATGCCTGCCGGTGCCTGGCAGATAACTGCAACTATAGCACTAGGACTGCCACCGACTGGAGCCAGCCCTGTGCTCTGAACCCTTCCAGCCGTTACAGCTGAGGGGTGGGATCTGCGAAGCCCCAGCCAGCAGTGCCTGCCTGTTTTAGTTACTCTTGTTGCAGCTTGTGCTATGCAGGGAGGTGCTGTTAGATCCCTACTCAGAGACAATGTCATGCCTAAAATCTGTCTGCTGGAACCAGCCCACTGTAGGAGGGGCAGGTTTGTCACTCAGGGCCACTAAAAGCCAACTCCAATAGCTAAGGGACAGCCCAGAGTCACCCCTAGCTGAAGGAGCCACCAGGACTGAGGAGCCACCAGGTCCAGCAGCGGTGGAGCCCTGCTGGAAAGTGGGCCAGCGGGGTCTGCAGAACTTGTGATAGGATTCTGCAGGAGACTCCAGGAACTACTTTTCATGCAGTGTTCCTGGCTTTGAAATACCACCTTTGTCCTACCCTGTTCACCTTCTCTGGTCCTCTCTCCCCAGGCCCTCGAGACCCCCTGGACATCCCCCGCCTGCCCGACCCCCAGGCCCTGTTCCCTACCCGCCGCAGGCCCCCTGAGTTCCCTGGCCGCCCCACAACCCTGACCTTCGCCCCAAGACCCCGGCCGGCTGCCAGCCGTCCCCGCCTGGACCCCTGGAAACTGGTCTCCTTTGGCCGGACGTTCAGCATATCGCCTCCTAGCAGGCCAGAAACTCCGGAGAGCCCAGGGCCCCCCAGCGTGCAACCCACACTGCTGGACATGGACATGGAGGGACAGAGCCAGGACAATACAGTGCCCTTGTGTGGGGTCCACGGCTCCCACTGAGGCCTGCCGCCCGCCTGGGCAGCCATGAATGTAGTGCCCCAGGCCCCGCCCCAGCCTGCCATGCCCCAAGGCGCAGAGGCCCTGAGCAGGGTGCTCACTCTATTTATTGGGGAAGGAGGGAGGGAGGGGATCTTAAGTTATTCCTTTGTACCCTAGGGGTGGAGCCCTGTGCCCACCCTGCTGTGGAGGGGAGGGTGGGCAGGGATACTCAGGGACAGGGCATCATGGGGGATTTGGCACAAAACAGCATTAAAGGTAACCCCTGCCCCCTACCTCACTTGGCTGTGTGTCTTTCCCCAGTCTAGGCCCTGATGCTGGCTTGTCCCCCAGGGGGATACTTCTGTACCCCACATGCCTCCCTGGGTCTCTAAGGACCAAGGAATGAGAACCCATCCCATGTCCCCTTTCTGGTCCCAAGAGCAACACACACAAAGAGGTTATGGTGACCAGAGACGAGTGCTTTACCAGTAAACACATGAGTGGGGGAAGTTCCACGGGAAGGTGGGGGGATGGGAACAAATGGCCCCTTGCCTCAGCCCACCACATCCCGGGCCTGGGCCCCGGCCCCGCTGTCTTCCCGCTGGAGGCTGCAGCGGCTCATCTTCAGCTGGGTGAGCTGGATGTAGCGGAGGACATTGGTATCTGTGGGGAAGGTGAGTAGGGCATCATCTCGGGCCACCAGTGACATCTGCAGCTCCCCTCCCCATAGAGGGAATCACCACTCCTTCCCCCAAGCTCAGAGGCAGCCGGCAGCCACAGATGTTTCACACCTTAGCCTTGGCACATGCTGCGCCCTCTGCCAGGAGCACCTCTGCACACTCCCGACACACTTCCACCCAGCCCCCAGTGACATCTGCGAGGAGTCTGTTCTCAGCAGCCCTCTTAGCAGAAGAGCTAATCTCGCCTCGCTCCCCCAGCCCGGCCCCACGCACCTGCTCTGATCCTTTTTCCCTCCTCTTCAGGGCTGGATACCAAACCGAGTGCTAGGTCGGGCTGCACACCTCAACACAGGAGCACGCCTCATCGTCTCCAAAGAGCAAGGAACAACCTCCAGCTCTGCCACCCCAGTCTCAGCCCTCCCACACACACGCAGACACGGCTTCCTTGTGTCCCCTGTGCTGCCCTGGCTGGATGAGGGGGTGACTGAGAGGTGAACGAGTCGGGGAGCATGTGGAAGGCTTAGGGAATGAGTGGGGAATGAGGGTAGGGATGGGGGTAAGACAGGTGAGGAAGGGAAGGTGGTCCCGGAAGGGGCTGGCCAGGGAGGTATCAGGACTGGTCAGTGACTGGATGACAAGTGTTTGGATAGATGTCAGGAATGGTGAGTGGCAGGTGAGTGGACATGCGGAGGGTGACAGAAGGGGTGATGAATGGTGGGGGGTGATGTGTAAGGACCCGAGGGGTGGTGTGAGATATCCAGTAGGTGGCACAGCACTCCCTTAGGGCAGCCCTTGGGAGATGCCTGTTTCGCTGCCTGTTTCTCCTACCGTTGTTCCCTCAGCGCTAGCCCCTTGCTCTGTGCGGCCTCGCCCCTTACCTGTGGGCTCTCGGCTGCGAGCCTCCTGCAGGTAGCGCAGCGCACGTGCGTAGTCGCCCAGGTGGTAGAAGGCAATGCCGGCGCGGTAAGTGGCCTTGAAGTTGCCCTGCTGCTTCTCCAGCACCTTGAGACAGTACTCGCGCACACGTTCGTAGTTCACCAGCTCCGACTGCAGCAGGCAAGCTACAGGGGCACCAGTACTCACAGGAGCCTGCCGGCACCCCTAGGACTCACGTGACCCTCTTGGAGCCTGGCCTCCTGACTGCAGGGAACCCTACCTCTTCCCCAAGGCCAAAGCGGTTACTCGGGCCACTAGGGGGCGCCAATCTGCTGGCCCATCAGAACAGGCTCAATCTGCGCCGCCGCTAGAGGGCGCGAAAGACACAGAGGCGTTGTTTTGGCAAATAGCTGGGAGGGTTTGGCAAGTAAGAGTATTAACAGCAATCACAGAGGTGCATCCAGGGTAAGCCTTTTTCACCTTAGGTTTGGTTGTGGCATGGGGAGGAAAAACTGACTAGAGGGAAGTGAGGCTCTGAAGACCCAGCCCAAAGTCCATTCCCTGCATCCCAGCACCCTCCTTCCTGAGACTCCTGTGACCGCCTGACTCAGTCCTCTCCTTGATCAAGTTCTAAAGTCTCCCTAGCCGACCACAGCCCTGGCGCTTATCCCCCTCACGCCCCAGTCCCCAAGGCCTGCTGACTGCCCCTCACTTTTTACCCATCTCACCCGCGTGCCCTTCTGCACCCCCCCCACGACGGCCCGTACCTGTGAGAGAGTCGTAACATTCCACCTCCGTGCTCTCCACCAGGCGCCGCTGCTCCTCGCTGAGGCGGGCGGGCCCCGGGCTGGTGGCGGGCCCGGGGGCGGGGGCAGGCAGGCCGCCAGGGCGGGCCCCCTGCGCCGCCTTCAGCTGCAACAGTGCCCGGTGATACTTGCCGATGGCTTCCCGGAACTTCTTCTCTCGATAGCAGCGCTGGCCCTCCGCCTTAAACGCCACGGCGGCTCGCAGGCTGCTGTCAAGCGCCGCAGCCAGGCCCCCCGACGGCTCTGGGGCAGGACCCGACCGAGCCGAGCCATGGCGGGGGCCCGGGCCGGGAGGGGAGAGGGCGGGAGGCGGGCGCGGTGGAGGCTCCGGGGCAGCGCTGAGCATCAGCACCGGGGACAGCGCGCCGCGCTGCATTGTGGGAAACTCCTGCGGCCGCTGCAGCAGCTACTGCATCGCCCCCCGCGGGGCTGGTCCCCACCCTTTCTCCGCCCCCGCACCTCCGGCTGCCGACTCTGGCTGCCCCCTATGGGCCTAGAGAATCCCCTCAAGACTTTTCCAGTTCCCCTTCCAATCAGCCCCAGCCAGAATTCTCCAACCGCCTCTCCCTTGTTCCCACTCCTCTTTCCCTCCCCATTCTCCTGCCTGCTTTCCCCCTCCAATATCCAAAGCTCCTGAAGATTTCTAGAAGAAAAGGATAAGCTTGAAGGAAAGAGCAGTAAGGTATCAACTTTGTAGAAAGCTAGTTTCCATTCTGACATGTTGGATAAGAATACAAAATATGGACTCAAGCTGCCCAAATTCAAATCCCCTTTTTATATTTTTACTAGTCACTTGGACAGTTCACTTACATGACCTAGAACTCCACATCCAGTAACATGCCTGAAGTAATATCAATTTTGGAATTCACTCGTGTATGCCACAAACAACTGTGGACCGATACTTCCTTTGTGCCCTGCTCTCTTCTGGATGAGTCTGGGGCACAATAAAGCCCAAGAGAGGCTTTCGGACACTACCATCACTGAGCCCTCCATTCTAATGGGAAGACAGGCCAGTGACCAGTGACAGCCCAAAGTGGGCTAACAGGGGAAGCACAAGCACAGGGTTCCTGGTTAGGATGGGGGAGACATGACAGGCTATGAGGGTTCTATGAAGTCTTGGCGCTAGGCCAAGGTGGTGACTGACAGGTTCCAAGAAGAAGGAATAACTCTACCTCCAAGAGAAAGTAGTTTCTTGACCTCCCTGAGCTCACATCTGCAAGGGTAGCCAACGAGGAAGCACGCAAGTCCCTGGGGAGAGAGAGCGTGCAGAGAAAGCAGCATGATACTGAATGAAACTCAAGGCAGGAAACGTGGGAGGCTTTCCAGAGGAAGATGGAGGGCAAATGAGGTGATTGCCCTTTAGGCTTCCTCAGCCGCCTCCTTAGCTGTGGGATCTTGGCCAAATGCCTCGCTCCTCCTGCACTTTTGCTTCCTTCTTGTGTATGTCCCTCTGAGGGGTGGTCAGAACTGAATTTTTCTGTGCAAATTGAGCACTTAGCACAGGACCTGGTGCTTAATGGGTGATTTCATACCATCCATTACACTCAGTTATTTGATCACAAATCCCTGGCTCTGAGTCAGGATCCATAAATCATTGTTGACTAAGAAGATAGTCAATAGTTTTATGTATCCCTGTTCCTTTCCCTACCCCAAGACCCTAACTTGGGTTTCAGCCACAAACACCGAGCCTGGGTCTCCACTGTCCATCACGGAAAGTGTTCTTGGAGGTCTCATGACAGGTCCTGTCCCACAGGCCAAAACTGAACTTGGCACCTTCCATCCCAGCAGCATCTTTGACTATTCCTTGTGACTTTGCTGAACGGGTCTCACCTCCTTCCTGGGGTCTGACCTTGAAAAATCCATAGGTGGACACAGATTCCTCTGTGCACCTCCAATCCCTGGCTGTTAAGAGGCCAAAATTCCTGAGTTTGTATTTCCTAGCAGTGAACTCACCTTTCTGTGCCTCAGGTGTGTTCAAATTATTTTTAATGAAAAATACAGCTATCCATTGACTCATAATGAATATTTGACCTACTAAATGGCAGTGGCAAACTAGACAAATGACAGCTGCACCTCACTGCTAACCTGTACCTGGTCCTGCCAGAGTGCCTTGCTCACACTTAACAGCTGGTAAATGTCAGCACTGTCTTAAATTCTTCCCCATCTATTAAGTAACATCCTTCCCACACCCCTCTGTGAGATCGATGCTATACTTCTTGACACAGTGGTACCCGGGAGACTAAGTAAATCAAGCACCAGTTATTAGGCTCTTACTAGCAGGGATCTGACCAGGCCATGACCTTCACAAGTCAACACAAGTGATGTGCTTAATTTGTATGTACAACCATAAATTTGTTGACAACATATAAACACTGAGCTGTTCCTGGAGTTGCAGATTTCTAGATTTACTTGAATAAAGGGTGAAAAGTTCTTATATAAATATTAAAGGGTGAAACACTGCAGTAGCATTTCTCATGCCTGCGGCGTGCTCTCTTTAGTTCCCCCTTAGTTTCCACCCCTTGCAATTTCTTCCCAGAGCTGAAGGAATCCCATTGCTGGTTTGAGCAGAGCTGAGGAAGTCCGGCAGTGCCCCCTCCCGGAAGAGTTTAGAATTTGCATCTTAAACTCCAGAAATTATTGAGGGACTTGGTAAGAACATCCAATCCGAGCGATGAGAGGCCTAAGAAGTTACCAATCAAAAGCGAGAGGCGAACGGCATTCAACCAATCAGGACAGAGAGCGCTCAGAATAAAAGTTTATTTTATTGGAGTAGGAGACAACATACAGTGAAAGCTTGTTTACAGAACGGCCCTCGGTGCTCAAGGAGGCCCAGGATGGGGGCGGCTGAGCAAGTGGGCGGCAACGAGGCTCGTGCCCTGGTGTTGGGGCCGAGAGTACTTGAGGAAGACCGCGGCACAGCCTGGCTCGGGGCCTCGGAGCGCAGCGCGGACCATGCATGGCTCCAGGGGGTCCAGCTCTGCGGGGCTGCAACAGGGAGGTGGAAAAATAGAGGCAGGGAAGAGGCTGGAGGCTCAAGGTTGAGAAGACACCTGAGTCCTGGGGCTTCTCAAGGACCCTCTCGAGGTCTTGCCTGGGGAGCACTGAGGAGGTCAGATACCTGATTCTCCCTGGGGGAATCCTGGACCCTCAGAAAGGGAAGGAGTGGGACCGAGGATAGCAGACATCCACCCTACCCTGGGCTCCCAAACTGAGAGAAAAGCTATCCAGTGGCCTGACTAAAAGGGTTACTGGCTCTAGCAGCTAAAGAGAAACCCCATTCGAAAACAGGCGACAGGGGGGAGGTCTCACTCTCAAATCTGCAACACATCATCCTTCAGAGCCTGGGAAGATCTCAACTTCCTTGAGTCCCTGAGTCAGCACAAACACCTCCATCCTCTTCCCCACCCCGTAAAGGCAAGTGGGATCCGCTAAGCTAGGCAGACACCCCTTTCTCTTTCTCTCCCACTCCCAGGAAATCAAGTCTAAGTGCCTCTCATTCTCCGACATGGTGAAGTTAGAGACCAGGAAGGGAGATTCCATAAAGCAGCAGACACCAGGGTCTACCTGTAAAGCACCAGCTCTGGCCGGGAGCCCTCCCCATCGAGCACACGGTGTGCCAGGTTCAGAGCCGCAGCTGCTCGAAGACTAGGAGCCCAACCCGAGGCCTCTGCCTCCAGCAAGGAGAGCTCCAAGAAGTAGGTGGCCAGTAGCATCACCTGCGGGGGAGACAGGGTGAACCTCGGGCTACAGCCCCATTCGCAGGCCACAGCCCCACCGCGTGCACCTGGGGGCGGCTCCCGGTCAGCGCAGTCAGCAGTCCCAGGCAGAGCAGCGGGCCCGGGTGGTGCAGTCGGAAATCCAGGCGGCTCAGGATGCGGCGCTCCGCACGGAGCAACTCGGCCCTCGAGAAGGAGCCTGCGCTCAGGAGGCAGAGTGAGGCAGGCTGCGGATGGGGGTGGGGGTACCCTTAGACTCCCCTCCTCTAGGGAGCCTGGAGTGTGTTCAGTCCAAATGTCTCCCTCCATTAACTAGTCTGTAAGAGAGCCATTGACTTTTGTCGGGAAATCGTGAATAGCGAAGGCTCCAAAGAGGGAATGCCTGGTATGACCCAGCATTTATTCACTGCATGACATAGGACATGCATTTAAACTCTCTGTCTCCATTTCATTTTCAATCCGTACAACCGAAAAACTGCCCACTTCCCAGGCAGCTCCAACAAGGCACCGAGTTTATGCACATTCTTACTGCAACTATTCAGGATGGAGTTTGAGCCCCAACTGGGCAAATCTCATGCCTTCTCTGGGCCTCAATCTCCCCTTCTGTTCCTCTCCACCCTGCCCCTGACTCATACTGAGAATTTAACCTAGGCCTTCGAACTGTGCTACATTCCTGGCCTTCTTTTATTTTTAATTTTGAAACAAGGTCTCTCTGAGTCTCACTGGGCCCGAACTTGAGATTCTCCTGCTTCAGTCACCTAAAAAGCTGAGATTACAGGTATGGGCCACCTACTCTGCTAAGAAGGCACATTAGCAGCCCCTACCTCAGATTTGCTAGGCTGCCAAGTATACCATAAAGTGCTTGGCACATGGTAGGAGTTTAGTCAGAAATGAGCAAGGGCCCCTCCCCTCCACGCCCGCCCCATAAGTACCTCGGGAAGCACGCACTCTTCCATTTTGCATGCCAGGAACAGACAGGCCACGCCCAGCAGCTGCAGGCGTTGAAGGCGCACTCGGCCTGTGCACAGGTAGGAATCGAGCAGGTGCACAGCCAGGTAAAGCGTGTCCCCTGCCAGGCCCAGGTACTCCTGGGGAGAGGGACCGATGACCACTGTGGCCCCAGGTGAGTGAGACACAGGTGCTCCTCACTCTCCCTGTCACTTACGTGCACCTGGACCAGCCAGTCCACCACTAGGGCGCGCATCTCCGGAGTCACGGCTCGAGGCAGAACCCTCTGGGGCAATGCGTGGCACACCTGGGGTTGGGTGAAGCCCTCACTCTCCACACTTGTGCCTCAGTTGCTCTCTTGAGCTCCAGCCCAGGGTGCAACAGCCTTCCCCCAATCATTGGATGTCACAGCAGCGCCACAGTCCAACACATCCAGCTATGCTCCTCTTCACTGTTGCCCTCTAGAACCTTGGACTTTGTTCTGGATGCCTCCCTACCCACCTCTCCATTGTGTGTCCCCCAACCCGGGCATCCCTAGTCCTTGGATTTGCCAATTCTGCTCTTGTCACCAATCCTCCCTCAGCCCTTTTCTCTAGGAGTACCCAGAATGGTCAATGCAAAGAAGGGTGTAACCAAGGAACCCTCTAGTTCAAAACTCTTCCATGGCTCCCAGTACCCTTAGGAAGAAATCCTAATTCCTCTCAGATGTTCTCAGGCTCTTCCCCTTATCCAGTGCTGCTTCTTCCCTCTCTATCCCCCCATTTTATCTTCACTCAGGAGTCACTCAGTGTCTCCCTTTATGTTTGGTCTGTTGGCCCTGTTAGGCTGCCCCTACGGTGACCTTGGAGACTTCTGTGAGCACAACTGGTCTCCGTTCTTCACAGAGACCTCAGCCCAGGACAGGCTGGCTGGATGTGGGTTAAACTTATCCCTCCAATGTCTCTTCAAGCACACGTCTGAAGACTACCATGGCCTGTTTTTTGGTCTTTGTGACTTTCTGTAATTAAAGAATATATTTGCTTGTCTGTCTCCCTACAATGGAGAACAGATATTCGTTGTAGCAACCCTATGATACGCTCAAAACATGTTAAATCACTGTTTCTTAAAGGAATAAATACGAGGTGCCAAGTGCAAGGGACAATGAAATACCAAAGGAAGGGCTACAGGCAGCCTGGGGGCCATGGGAAATGGAATTGTGCCCAACCTAGAAAGTTTGGCGGTGGTACACACCTGTAATCCCAGCACTCTGGATGGCTGAGCACCGTGAGTTCGAGCTCAAGCAGGGCAACTCAGCGCCTTTGCGACAGCTGGGGATGTGGTTCAGTGAAGGACTTGGTTTCCCTCGCCAGCATGCGAGTGGGAGGGAGGAAAGTCTGTAAATTATGGGCTGGGAAGGGAGTTTGCTGGGCCGCGGGAGAGATGGGATTCAGGGCTTCTCGCTGACAGTGTGTTGGGCCGGCTGCTACCCAGGGCAGGGATAGCGCCACACTTGCCCCACTCACCATGACCTCAGCAAAGATGTCCCCAGCGTACTCGCGTTCTCTTTCCAGCCCCAGCGCGCTCAGCGCCTCCTCCAGCCCTGGCGGCGCGCGCGGCCCCGGGGGCCTCTCCTGGAGCCCAGGGGAGACGCCCGCCGCGACGCCATCGGGAACAGGGACACGCGGAGAGTCTGGGTTGAAAGAGACAGCGGGAACCTGAAAGGGAGACAGGCTGGGGGCTCAGTGCCTGAAGAGAGACCCGTGCAGGGCCGGGAGCGCTGGCCCCCCTCACTCACCAGCATTGTCAGCCTGGCGTCGAACTAAGCCGGGAGCTGACGCTTGCAGCAGGAGGGAGGGGCGCGCGCCAAGCGCTTTCAACAAGCCTGAGCGCATGCGCACTGAGCTCGCGCGCGCAGGACTCGCTTGGCCTGGGGCAGGCGCGAATGCAAAAGTGAATAGTGAGTGAGAGGTAGGCAGGTAGATAGGTCGGCAGGTCGGCCTCCTCGCCTGCCCTCGGCCTCCTAAGTCAACCAAATCTTCATTCTGGCGCCTAGAAGCAGCACTGCTTCACTTTTCTCAATCCCAACCTAGGGGTTGTTTCTTTCTTTTTATTTTTTTATTTTTGTTGGTACCGGGGATCGAACCTTGCAAGGCAGGCGCTTATGCCACTGAGCTAAATCCCCAGCCCCTGGGGGCTGCTTCAAAACTCAGTCAAGAGGGTTGTCCTGAGGGTTTTAGAAGAGGGTCGTAAAGAGGTCAGTACACAGGCTGATACAAACAAACAGAAACAAAAAGGCGTCGGAGCTATAAATCATTTTGACGAGTATTTAAGGAAGGCCTCTGCACTGGGGACAAGTCACCAAAATCAGTCTAGGACAGTGCAGCGGCCTCAGAGCTACTGTCCCTGCCCTCAGCTCCAAGCCTGCTCCCAACGTGCGGCCAGAGAGTCTGGTGCGTGTCTGAGCCAGGTTGCATCTTCCTCCGATCACAACGCCATCTGGGTTCCCATATCCCTCAAGGTGAAGGCCCAGGGCTGCGTGTGGTGGTGCACATCTGTACTCCCAGCATTCTGGGAGAAGGATATAGGAGGATCACAGGTTCAAGGCCAGCCTGGGAAACTTAGCAAGATCCTGTCATAATTCTTGTTTTGTTTTTTGAGACAAAAGTCTTGCTATGTAGTTGAGACTGTTTTGAACTCAAGGCAATCCTCCTGCCTCAGTCTTCTGCGTGCTGGGGTTACAAATGTGTGCTACCACAACAGGCTCTGTCTTAAATTTTCAAAAAGCATCGGGGATATAGCTCCATGAAAGCTCTTGGCTCATGGGCCAAGGATATAGCTCAGCAGCACAGTGCCTGCCTGGCAAGCACAAGGTTATGAGTTTGATCCCTGGTACCAAAAAAAAAAAAAAAGCTCTTGGTTCAGTTTCCGGTATGAAAGGGCAAGGTTGAAGCCCTAGGTCCCTCTATGTTAGTTATGTCTCCACTACACACACACAAACCTCTCTGAGCTCATCAATCCCAAGCCTACCCACCTTCTCCTCTCCAGCACTCACACTACCCTTAGGCCTTTGCACTGGCTCTTCCCTCTGCCTGACACAGTATGTTCTTTTCCCAGATACTGTTTCCATCCCAGCTCTCCTTTCAGGTGTTTACTCAGATGTCACCACATGTTACCGTCTCCACAAAAGGCAATGCATCATCTGAAGGATTTCCTGTTCTTATCCCTGCACTTACTGTGCCCTTAGCACTTGCTGCCTTGTAGCCAAGCATGTATTATTGTCCTCCTCTTGACTTGAATGTGAGCACCATGTGGGCAGTGAGCATCATGGGCATTTATTCATCTTCTTCCTTCATGCCTATGACAGGGCCTGACATAGTAATACATAAATATTTGTTGAATGATTTAGGAGTGTCTTGGTTATTCTTCTCATTGCTGAGACAAAAATAGCCCACTCTCAAAACGAAAGAAGAAAAGGTTGATATAGCTCACAGTCTGTGCAGGTTTCAGGCCACAATCAAAGCTCCAAGGCAGGGTGGCATAGTAGAGGGCAAAAGTTCATGGCAGCAGAAGATACTAAAAGCGGCCAGAGCAAAAGGGGGAAGCAAGTCTCTTTCCCTCCCTTCTATCTTATGCAGACTACTTGCCCTAGGGAAGGTGTGGCACTCACAACCCCCAATCCCAGCACTAGACAATGAACCAATCACAAACTCTACATACAGCAACCTCTGAAAAACCCACCCCCCATGACCACATGAGGCTTTGGGGGAGCATCCCAACCATAACAAACACGGTGGACATAATTTAGAGACAGTGGTCCAAAGGGTCTTGTGAGGTGATGACACTGAAGATGAGACCTGAGAAAGAGCCAGGACTGCAGAGGAAAGACCATTTTAAGTGAAGGGAAGTGCGTGAGCAAAGATCCCGAGGTAGGAAGCACTTGCTGTTTTCACTGAGAAGTTAGTGCAGCTGGAAAGGGGAGGGGAGGCTTCAGGTGCGCCGCTAACCTAGCTTCCTTCCATTCCCACTCCAACAGAGAAAACTTGGGCTATCCCCTACAGGGTACAGACCTAACAGACACCTGCAAGGGCCCATCAATCACCACTGCAGGGAGCAGATGGTCATCATGCACTGCCTCACAGGTTAGGGGGGGGCGTGTTTGGCTCATCATGTGAATTCAGCCAAAAGCAACTTGCATTTAACCAGAGACACAGCAAGCAACAAGGCCTGACAGAAGTCTGCAGAGTAACTGTCCCATGAGTTCCCAACCTGGCATCTAGATCCAGTGTGGGTTCCTGGGCATTAGCCAGGAAGATGCTTTTTTTTTTTTTTTTTTTTTTTTTTATCGGTACCAGGACTCAAACTCACGATCGTCTGCTTGTAAGGCAGGTGCTTATGCCGCTGAGCTAAATCCCCAGCCCCCCATTTTGTTATTTTTAATATGCAGATATTACTCGTGACTATCAGTAAAATGGAATTAAGGTCTGTAGAGGAGCATTGTGTCGGTGCTGGCTGATTCTGGGAAGTAGACTCAGTATGGAAGACAGAATTCTTGTTTAGGGATAGATGTATGCATATGAAGTGGGGAGGAGAGGTAAAATAGATACAAAATGCCAATTTTGCCAATTAGGAAAACATGAGGAACCTAGGAAAAGGGTTTTTTTCCCTACACTACCGGAATGGAACCCAGAACTTGAACATGCTAGGCTAATGCTTTGCCAGAGCTACAATGCCCAGCCCTATTTTATGTATTTTTTACATAAAAATTGTTGGGACTTACAGAAAGCTGAAACATAGTACAGAGCCATCTATCCTACACCTGCTTTACCTACTAAGACTTAGTGAGGCACAGCTGTCAGGACTAAGGGGCCAAGTTTCACCTGCTATGAAATGAAATCCTTGCCTGACTTTTCTGTCCCAGGATCCCATCCAGAGAACCTCTAGTCCATCTCCTCAGGTCTCTCCTGGCTCAGCCTGTGTCCATGTTTAAATCCAAGCTACTTGCAGGATTTCCTTGTCTTTAGCAAATGACTGTGACAGTCCCGAGACCTCCTGCTCAGGAACTCAGTGCACTGTCCAACTGGGGTTCGCTCATGGTCACCTTTCCCTTGGTTAGACCAGGGTTATGGTGTTTCTGCTTTTCCTTGAGACGGGGTCTCACTATGTAGCCCAGGCTGGCCTCAGATTTGCAGTGATCCTCTTGCCTCAGCCTCCCAAGTGCAGGGATCAGCAGCGTGCTCCTGGCCATCTCTGGGATTGTGTATTTTGGGAAGAGGACACAGTCAAGAGCAATCCTGATAACCTCCCAGCAGCGGTACACACTGTCAACATGATTTACTGCTGGTGCTAACACAGCTGTTGTCAGGTCTCTGAGAATCAACTCTCCTCCATTCTGTACTCTAGAGGAGCCTCCCACCCTGTGCACCCCACACCTGTGCACTTCTTCTCATTGCACTTTCCAGTGCAAACTCTTTTATACTTGAGGGGAAAATTCCACACTGCGCAGTTTTCTTGTTTTCCAGCTTTTGCCTCATTGGTAGAGAGCTTTGAGGCTTCACAAATACCAAGCACACCCAACCCCTTCTGGGGTTCAGCACAGTGCCCCTCTGTACATTACTAGACGCTCTAGGTTCACTGTACTTCTGCTCCAGCCCTAGAATCATCTTAGTACCATTTCTGAAATGTTTCCTGCAAGTCTGTAGTTATTTCAAACTTTTAAATATTTGAGTCACTATAATTTTTTTGGAAAACTCTCTGACACATATTAAGATCCTAGAATGTAGGCCAAAAAAGCATAAATGGAGATGGGTCCTTAAGGTTTATTACAGCACTCCAATAGTAGGAAACAAAAGCAAAACCCTAAACTTAAAGTAAATTTCTAGCAAGGGGCAGCTCAGTCAGCACCAGGCACCAGAAGGTCCTCAGAATGCAAAGGTGAGGCTCAGATAATCAGTCCTGCCGGGCAGGGCAGTACCTGGTAGGAGAGTGATACACAAAGGCGGGAGGAATCTTTTTTTTTTTTTTTTTTTTTTTTTTTTTTTTGAGACAAGGTCCCCGCAGTCCAGGCTGACTTGGAACTCACAGCAACCCTCCTGTCTCAGCCTCCCAAGTGGCTGGGATTGCTCATGTGCATCCCCCATGCCACACAGGAGCAACCTACTTAAGCCATCACAGTACAGTGTTGGCTCAGAGTCTTGGAGCCTGGGGTGTCACTTTCTTCTTATACATTTGCATTTACACACACACATCTTCATGAAATGTTGAAAATGGACACCAAAAAAGACCAATATACTCAAATTTGTAAAATTTATTAAAACTGTTCACCTTGAGCTAAGAAGCACCAATACATCTAAGGATACACGTCCCACTAAGAGAAGCAGGTGACCAGTGTGGGACCTGCCCATGCAGCTTGAGAGGAGGACTAAAAGCATGAGGTAGACAGGAATGTGCCCACACTGGGAGACCTCAGTGAGCCACGCTGTGCCGGGAGAACAAACTGTCCACATCCTTCACTGCGTGGCCAGGACTGGAGGGAAGAGCAAAGGGCGTTTCTTTACAGGCCTTTGTGAACCTTACAAGCACCCTGCACACATACCTGGTTTGCAATTAAAGACAATAAGGTCCACACATAGTCAGAAAAGCCCCCACCAACAGCAGCACACCAGCACTCTGCACCGTGGCTGTGGCAGATCCCAACATGGACTCAACTTTCCCATGGTCCTCACTGAAAACCTCGTGCCCCCACAAGACCTGACATGGATTCATCTGTGCCGCCCTCTGCATGACATGATCCCTGCTGCAGCCAGGTGGCTTGGCTCAGTAACTCAGGCGTGCAGACGGAGACCTAAGGATAGCAGTCCCAGCTCCAGCTAAAGGGACGCAGTAGCCAGAGGAGTGACCCCCCAGAGCTAGAAGCAGCCATAACCAAAGGCTCAGGTGCTCCTGGCTGATGGCAACCACAAATACCATTAACACACCACAGATCCTAGGGCCTCAAGGCACCGGTGTGGAAGGGGCTGTGAAGTAAAGCCCCACTCTAGGGCTCTTCCGCTCAGCTCCAGGGCTCACCCTCCTTGTTTGGGGCCACCCAACCCTCCCACCACTCCACCTGCTCCGCCAGCCTGAGCAGCATTTGAGACCCTGGAATGGTCTCTTGTCTGCCACACCCTGCCCTAGGCCAGAGGACCCTTCCCAAATTTCCAGCTGTTTCCCTCAAGACCTCCACCCTCTTCAGCTTAGGCTCAGCACCCACCTGCCCACCTCCCCTACTTCCTCCCCTTGGCTCAGCAGGGCCCAAAGAACAGAGCAAGGGAGAGGTGGGACGGTGCCCAGAGTAGACTCCAGAACCATGGCAAGGCCAGGCAGGCAGTGGCCGGCATAAGTGCAGGCTGGCCCCATTCTGAAATGAGTGTCTTTATTGCTTGTACCGTACAAATACAGGGAATAAGGCCAGTGGGGAGTGGGAAGAGTTGTCAGATAAACCACATACACACACAGAAAAGACCCTGACCAAGCCCTCTACCCCCCACATGCCTTTCTGAGAACTGCCTAGTACGGGAGGTGGGGCAGGGAGATCAAGATCATGAAAACTGAATTCAAAACACCCCAGGACATTGAGGGGAAGGGGAGGGGACGGGCAGCAACGCGCCCACTTCCCCCACAGGATGAAGCGCTCAGGCCGGGGTGGGGCCCGAGCCAACACACACCACGCGCACTCGAGGGCTTGGACACACCACCCTTACACATGTGCACACACAGCCATGCACGTCTGCACCACAACGTAGTCCACAGTATGGACACAGGCTCTCGCTCATGTTCACCTTAAGGCTTCAGAAAGTGGGCCCTGGAGATGGGGGCGGGGAGGGGGCTGAAACCCTGTTTGCAGAGGCTACTGTACGCCAGTATGTACCAGACACCCACCCCACTTCCTCCTTGACCCGAGTCCACTGGGCCCAATACTGTCTCTGAGAGGGATGTGTAACAGCTGTGGCTGGCGTCCCCCTTCCCCAGGCAGAAAGAAGAGGCGACCCTAGCTCCACCCTCCAAGGGGCCGGGCCAGGTTCAGGGTCCAGTGGGAGGTAAGGCCTGTTGGAAGGAAGCCCTGGTAAGGCACGGGGCTGTGGGCAGGGTAGGCAGGCTGCCCCCAAAAGTTCCTCCTGCTGTACCCACAGGTCAGGAGAGCAGCTGGGGGGACAGGGAGGGCACGTCCCCTTCCTGGTTCCCTACATCATAGGTCCAAGGAGACCAAAGCCCCTGGTCCCATAGCTTCCAAAGACCTTCTGCCTGTCCCTTGACATTATTGCTTTTTTGTCCCCAGTGGGGTGGCACTGGGTGGACTGAGGCCTTTGAGCCAAGCCACAGGCACAGAAGGCCATCAGCAGTCTACTGGGGCATCCCAGAAGCAGCCTCCATCTAGAAGCAGCAGCGAAGGCAGCCGCCCATGAGTGTTTGGGCTGAAATCCAAGCCAGCCCTGCAGCTCCACGCTTTGCCCTCACCGGGGCTGGTGTTGATTAAAAACTGGACTCACTCCATCCTCCCAACAGCCCATCTTGGGGTGGGAGGTGGACAGTCCTCCAGCACTGGTCTGGGCACAAATGGGAGGCTGGTGGTGAAGGCAGGCTGCGGGAACGCTGCGGGGCAGACAAGGACTGAAGGAAGAGATCGGAAACCGGGAGGGAAATAAGGATGGGAACACAAACCAAAAAGGCAAAATAAAAAGTTTTTCTTAAAAAATCCACCCAGGCGGTGGACGGCGACCATGGGTGCGTCCTCTGGTGGTGGCAGCTGCTCACTCTCGAATGCTGGCCGAGTAGGAGAACTGGGGGAAGTGCGTCCGCTGGTCCAGCTCCAGTGAGCCCAGGCTGTCATCTACAGGGTGGGGGGGAGGTAGAGTGGGGTGACTGGCCTGCAGATGGTCAGGGACACCCCACTGGACTTCCCAGGGAACACCCCTCAGAAAAGGCTACACTGAGACCACAGGACAAGCCCTCAGCCAGCTGGGGCTCCCCCTGAGAATGGTCAGGGAAGACTCACAACCTTGCTGCTGAAGGAGCCACCCGCAACGACAGCCCACTTCCCAGGCCGGCCTCGGGCAGCCCGTCTGGGACACACCTGTGAGCCTACCCAGCCTCCCAATGTCCCCTTCGTCCCTCTTCTTCTCTACCCCGCACCACCACCAGGCTCTAGCTTATACCTCTCCAGCTGACTGCCCTGCCCTGCCCTGCTCACTCCACCCTTCCCTCTGCGTGTAGCCAGAGGAGTTTCTAGAGCCTGGATGCAGCCCTATCCCTTCGCACAAAACCCTGTGTGCTCCCCACGCGAAGGACCCCTGCTCAGCCAGGCATGACGGTGCATGCCTGTCATCCCGGCCCTCTAGGAAAATGTTCCAATGAGAAGGAGAATGAGGCAGGGGGAGAGGGAAAAGGAAGGAGGGGGAAAAAAACAAGGAAAAAAACCTGGAAACAAAGCTTTTGTAAATGAGGAGGAGAAGAGGGGTTGAAGGGAGGGAAAAGGAAAGAGGAAAAAAAACAAAAAAGCAGCAAGCTACAGCACGTACGGGTACAAATGCCCTATGGTGAATGTGATCACCATATCTGCCTCAAGTATACCAATAAAAAATGTAACAATAAAAAAGTTAAAGAATTCTAAGTTTCTGAGAGGCTGAAGCAAGTTCAAATCCAGTCTGGACAATTTAGTGACTTATTAAGATCCTGTCTCAAAAGTAAAGGGCTAGGGATGTAGCTTTGCACACAGCAGGGGGGAAAAAAAAGGTCCTCATTCCCTTGATGGCTCATTCCTGAGATCCTTTTCTGACTCTGACCCCCACGTCCTCCTACCTCCCCTGAACACCCCGGTTCCACCTGCAGACTGTTCCCCATCTGCAATGAACTACCTTCCGCCAGCACCCTTGGGGCACTCCTGGGGATGACATCAGTGTCAGGCTCTCCTCCCCTCTCCCCAGGATCTTTCGACCCTACACAGCCCTGAGCACTCAGGGCTGTTCCCCCAACCTGAACCGCTAGCTCAGTCACAGCCGTCTCCGGTCCAGCCTGGGTGGGTTCACAGTAAGACACAGACAGACACAGACAGCGGAAGACTCAAAAATTCCATCCAGCCCAACAACTGGTGTCTCCTGCCAGCCCAGGACCTGGAATGCACTGTGGTGACTCTCCCGGGTCCAAGAAGGACTGACAGCAAATGGCCCTTGCCCAGATGCACAGGATGGCCTGCGGGATCCTCCTGGGGAGCTGGGTCCACCTTGCCTACACCCCATCAGTCCCAGTGGCCCAATACTCACAGCGGTCTGGGGGTGTGATTGTGATGGACTGGGCAGTGAATTCGTCATCGAAGTACCTCGTGTCAACCTCAGAAGTGACCTGAGGCTTGAAGGGTGGCTGCAGCTACAGAGGACAGGAGCACATATTCAGGGACCCGGAGGACTGGCCCCAAGCCGCTCGTCTGTGACCGACCAGGCCCCTAAAGCTCCTGTTGGGGGAGGGTGGGGTGCTCACCTTCTTTTGCACCACATCCTGCCAGCTGATGCTGAGGAAGAACCCGTGCTCCATGACCTCCTTGGCGTCGCCAGGCCCCCCACCAAGCCTGGGCAGAGACAGTCATCAGCACCCACCTCCCACAGCAGCGGGCACAGCCTTAAGATTCTGTTGTGACCACAAACAACCACTCCACAGACGGGGAAAGAGCTCGAGGGAGGGAGCTCTGAGGCCAATGTCACAGCAGGAAGACCAATCAGGATACATGTGCACCTGCAGCCTGCCCTCGCCTTGAGTCCAGGAAGGAAGGTGACAGGGCAGGTGTGGAAAATGACTCATCTGTATCCTGCTCAGCTACATACAGCTCAGTGGCTCTAGGCCAGGAAAAGCGCTGCCCGACCCCTCAATGTCTCCATAAATCACCAATGTAGGTAGTGTCAAGGACTGGCCCCAAGTACGAAAGTGCCACATGTAGGGACCATCAGAGGCTGCACAGGGGACAAGAGGTACTGGGAACCCACAGAAGTGTCCCCGTGGGTACTACGGCCACCAGGCTGAGGGACAGTGGCAGCAGGGACACTGGGCTGGGTGGGGCAGCACCAGCCCTCACCTCTGTTTGGGGTCCTTCTTCAGCAGCCCGGCCAGCAGGGACTTGGCCTCGGGGCCCAGCGTGCGCGGGAAGCGGATCTCCTCCATGAGGATGAGCTCGAAGAGGCGCTCGTGGTCCTGGTTGTAGAAGGGTAGGCGGCCGCACATCATCTCATACATGACCACACCCAGCCCCCACCAGTCCACTGCACGGCCATAGTCGTTGTCCTCCAGCACCTGAGGGGCAGGGACAGTAAGTGCCAGGCGCACACCAGGGGCAGCGCAGGGAGATGTGAGGGCTCAGTCCCACCCTCAGAGGCCTGAGGGAGAGAGGCACACAGGTCCGAGGGGCCCGCCACCCTTGGTGTCCGCGCTCCTGTGACCCCAGCCCAGGCACCTCAGGCGCCAGGTACTCCGGGGTCCCACAGAAGGTTTTCATGGTGGCCCCATCACTGATGCCCTCTTTGCACAGGCCGAAGTCAGTGATCTTGATGTGGCCATCTTTGTCCAGCATGAGGTTCTCCAGCTGTGGGAAGAGTCAGTTTACAGGACACATGTCCTCCTAGGGCTCCCTGTCACTCCAGCCCTGCCCTCAGGCTGTGGCCTGAGGTGTTAACTGTCACACCTGGGGCTCCTGGGCATCAACCCTGTGGCTAGGATGGCCGCAGCATGTGTGAGGAAACACACACACCACTAGGGTTAAGTGTGTGCCCTTGAGCTCAGAGGAAGGCCAGACCCAACACTATTCTGTGCTCTGGCCACTCGCTAAGGGAAGACTGCAGTTTCTCAAGATCTACTGCCACTAAGGGCACCACCTTTCTTGTTTTGGTTTTTTTTTACCCCCAGTACTGGGGATCAAATTCATATCCTTGCACTTGTGCCACTGAGCTAAATCCCTGGCCCCTTGTATGTCATTTTAAATATTTTTCTTTTAATTATGAAACAGACACCAGGAAAGAACAAAAAACATAAAACAAATGGGCAATGCAGTGGTGCCTTTGTGTAACTTCCACTAGGTCAAGAAATTACATTGAGAGTGTCCCGGGAGCTCTATGTGCCCTTTCCTAGTTATAGGACCTCAGAAATAACTTAATTCCTTGCTTCTCTTTATAGGTTTTTTTCCCTTTGTCATGCCAGGGATGGAACCCAGTGCCTCTGCATGCTAGCCAAGTGCTCCACCACTGAGCCACATCCCCAGCCCTTCCTTTCTGCAGGCTTTAACACTGAGGGGCGACAAGCATATCTGTAAACACTGGCTCCGCCTCCTCCACTCTGGCTTTCCCGTGTGATGACTACAGGCTACGTCCACGCTCCTGAATAGCTGTGGTTTGTTCCCTTCCTGCTGCCTGGCATCCTGCCTGTGAAAAAACCACATGCATGTGGCCCACTCCCTGGCGGGGTGCATGCGCACGCATGCCAAGGTGAACGCAGCTGCTCTGCTGTGGAGGACACTGGCCTACTACTTTCCAAAGGCTTCCAGTAAGCTTCGTGCACACCTTACCCCTGCACTAGGGAAGCTAACGCTGGACAGCCACTGTGAGTCCCAAGAGAGCCTGAACTAGAGAACTAGACCCTGTCTCAAAGTAGCCTACATTTATTTTTTTCTGTACCAGGAATCAAACTTACAACCTTGTGCTTGCCAGGCAGGCCACTGAGCTGTATTCTTGGCTAAAAAACAATGTTTTATACATATGGCTTGTGAAAATGGACACTTTCACCAACAGCTGGGACTGTTCACAGGGCATTCGGAAAAGTCCTCGCCACAGAGCCATGAGGCTGACTCCTCGGTGTGAATCCTACACATGTACCACCCTGGGCCTGGATGGTGCTTGCAGCCGCCCACCCCAGCCACCTGCTCACCTTGATGTCTCGGTACACCACGTCCCGTGAGTGTAGGTACTCGAGAGCCGAGACGATCTCTGCACCGTAAAACCGTGCCCGATCCTCTGTGAAGACTCGCTCCCGGGACAGGTGGAAGAAGAGCTGCGGAAAGGGTGAGGAGCAGGTCAAACCCCAGCCCCAAGAGGAAGAGGGGCCCACAGCCACCCCGTGACACGGCGCCAGGGGGACTGAGTAAGGGACTGTGAATTGACAAGAGCTCACAGGAAGAAAGAAAAAAGAGCAGGGGATAAAGAGTGACAACAGCCAGCAGGTACCAGTGAGAGGATCTGCAGGACAGGATGAAGGGACAGGTGAAGGAGGGAGTGACAGCAGGAAAGCAAGGAGAAGCACAAGTCACGAGCAAGTGACAATAAACTGTGAGCAAGACCAAATCGAACGAAGCAAACAAATGAGCCAGTCTAGTGAGTCCATCTGCATGCAGAGGAGGGGCTGAGGGACAAGTGGGTGACAAGGGGACGTGGACATTTATTTGCATAAGGAGGGAAGGACACAGAGACCAGGTAGACTTTAACCCCTGGGTGCTTTCTCCACAGCCTCTAAGCACACCCTTCCACTTGTCACCCAGCAGCCCCACAGCCTCGCTCCATGCCTTTCAGGACTCAGGCTGGATCCTTCCTCCAGCAGCTCAGTCACCAGCCATGTGAGCCTGCAAAGCTACTCAGCCTCCTGAGCCTCAGTTCCTCCAGCTAGGAAACAGAGATGATGCCACCTGCTTCAGACAGCAGGGAAGGGGCTAGGCCTGGATCCCATTCAAAGTCCCTCTGGCCATTCCATCGAAGGTAGCCCCACCCCCGACAGATGTGTAGGAAGTCAGGCCATGGCTGCAGCTCACCTCCCCGCCGTTCGCATACTCCATCACAAAGCACAGGCGGTCGTTGGTCTGGAAGGCGTACTTCAGTGCCTGTGGAACAAGGGCAGGAGGGCACTGGGTCAGACATGGGGAAGGAGAAGGCTCTGCCCAGAATATGCACACAGACGGCCCTACACCCCAGCCTGACCACGAGACATGGAGTCCAGCAGATGGGTTCAACTCCCAGGCAGCACAGCTGAGGAAAAATCAGAACTATGACTTCTGTTTTAACAGTAAACTATACTAAACATTATCCCTTGCATGCACGCACGCACGCCCTCCCCCCCACACATACACACACAGTGGCTGGCCATGGCAATCAATGGCTTAGGAGCTCCATAGACAGGGTAGACAAACTATCAACCAACAAAGAGTGTTTTAGTTCCCAAACTATGCTCTAGGAAGCACTACAGCAGATCCATCAAAGATCCCCTGGGTAACTCTGGTCACCACACTATAGTGCTTTGTACTATCCTTCAAGTACCTTGTTAGATCTCATGTGAACAAACATTATGACTTAATAGGATACCTGACAGCAGCTGAATTAAAGAAATGGCACAGAGACTTATGAAGTCTCTAAATAAATAAGTAAATAAATAAATGGGCTGAGGATGTAGCTCAGTGCAAAGCTCTGGGTTCAATCTCCAGTTTACAAAAGAGGCACATGGGTTAACCTCAGTCTAGGCCACTGAACTGATAGCCACCAACCCTGATAGAGACTATGGCCCAAAAGATACCTCCCAAAGAGGTAGCCCCTTGATGTACCTTGACAGGAGACACAACAATACATTACGGAATTTTAAAATCAAAACAAAACAAAATATCCTCCCGTCTGGATGAGCTGGACTAAGAGACCCTCACGCAGACAGAGAGCAGCCACACTTCTTGGCACCGTCCTGTCAGGCGATCTCTGGTCCCTTAAGGTGCCTACATGAAGCCACTGTCTATGAAGATGATACCAAACCAGTGCTTGGTTCAGGCAATGCCTGGGGCCAATGCCCAACCCACACAAGGCCACCCACTGGAGCGACAGGTCTGGGCTCTTTCCCTCAACTCCTTGGCTTCTAGCCTGAAGTAAAGGCCTCCCTCCTAACTGCCTGAGAAGGTAGGTGCAACTCACTGTGAGGAAAGGGTGTCTGGTATTCTGGAGGACCCGACTCTCCGTGACTGTGTGAGCGACTTCATCCTGCAGACAGAGAGTGCAAGTGAGTGGCTAGGAGCAGTACCATGTCTACTGCCCCACCACCAGTTTTAACAGACAGAGCAGCAAGAACTTGGCGAAATGCAATTGCATTATACCAGCAAAAAGACAACAGGGCCATCTGTGAGCTCTCACTAAATAATGTACCCAGATAAGGATTATCAGTGGCTTGCCCCAAACCACAAGGTGAAAGTCAATGAGGACTTTACAACGGAAGGACGAGGGCTGTGCCACTAAACCCAGGCCAACTGTAACATCCTGCTATAATCTGGATCTTGAATGTCCCCCAAAGGCCCATGTGTTGATGGCCTGGTCCTTAGCTCATCATGCTACCTGCAGATGATGGAACTTCTTCTAAGAGATAGGGTCTAATTTCTATTCAAGGTAGGTCACTGGGAAAGTGCCTTCAAAGTGGCAGTAGGACCCCCACTATGATGTACTGTGCCAGCAGTACATCAGTAAAGGAGTAAGTAAAGGAGCTAAGCCGTCATGGCTAGAGACGGCCAAAGCTGCGAGTCAAAATAAACCTTCTGTCCTTACAAGTTGTTTATCCCTATTGTTTTGTCGTAATGATGCACAGCCCTACCGAGGGAACAAACAGATGTTATGAGACCCCTAAGATGCCACAGAGGATGTGGGAGTCAGCAGCTATAACGTGCTCTTGCCCAAAGAAGGAACTGGATCTAGCCAAGGCTGCAGAGTAAAGCAGCGCTTCTCAGGGTGTGGTCTGCACACAGGCTGCATTGACCTGGCCTGGGAACTTGTAGAAATGCAAATTCTCGGGCCCCACTCCAGCTCTGCTGAGCAGAAACTTGGGGGTAAGGTTGAAGGTGGGGGACATCCCTGCCTCACAAACCTCTGGGTGATTTGAACACAAGCCCAGCATCAGGTCTGACCAAGAGCAGGCCCACCAGGAGAGCTTCCAAATCTCAGCCACTCACAGACATCTGGAGCTGGCTCTCCCCTAAGCACATCATTCCCTGTGGCATATCTAAAGTTATTTTCTACCATCATGCCTGGTGGGTGCTGCTAAACCTCTCAGAAGGGAAAAGGCAGCCCCCCTGCTCCACGGTGAGAAATGATGTGGCCCAAAATATCAGTGTACTACTGGGGTTCCCAAGCCCTGCTTGGACCCACTGTATCAGGAACTAAGTTTCTTTTTTGGATATGGTCACGGCACTACATATTTTTAAAATTCTTCACCCATTAAGGCACTTTTTTTTTTTATTTTCGAGACAGGGTTTTGCTATGCGGTTCAGGCTGGCCTTGGGCTCACCTTGTAGCCCAGGCTGGTTTCAAACTTGCTATAATTTACCTGCCTCAGTCTCTCAAGTGCTGGGATTACAGGAGTGCGCCACCATGCCCAGCTTAAGGCACATTTTTTAAGTTTGTATGGGCAAAAAGATACGATAGCTAAAATATGCCTTAAAATACTCCCAAACCAAAAAAAAAAAAAAAGAGTAGAAGGCAGAGCTAATGAAATGAAACAATTGTTTTAACACAATCACTGCTACGTGACAGTCCAATATATTTTTCTTTTTTTTTTTTTTTTTTTTTTTGGTTTTTTTTTTTTGTCTTTTTCCTTTTTTATCGGTACCAGGGATTGAACTCACGACTGCCTGCTTGCAAGGCAGGTGCTTATGCCGCTGAGCTAAATCCCCAGCCCCTTATATTTTTCTTCTTAAAAATGTATGTATGTTTGAAATGTGTTACTATAAAATCTGTTAAATAAGGCAAAAAAAATAGAGTTCCATTTATGACCTAGCTTCCTACAGCCTCCCCGTTTATCATGGCAAGGGGCCTCCTTCGGGCCTTGAGAGCACCTACTGAGTGAAGCCCCTGCACTGCCTACAGCCCGGGGTGGGGTGTGGGAGTGGAAGGCAGGCAAACTCCTCCCCGGGCTCAGGCTCCGCTTCTCTGACAGGGCACTTAGAGAACTGAGCCCAGAAGATGGGGTAAATGAAGCTACAGCAGCAGAAGGCCGCGGTAACACTGCTCGGGCCCTGCAAGCACTCCCAAGTGCTGTCCCCTACCAGACTGTGGTCCCTGATAAATCACGACGGCAGAAGGGTAGCCGGGTGGGAGAGCACATGACTCTCATGCACAAGGCCCTGGGTTCCACCCTCAGCACCACACAAACGAACAACATAGCTCAGTGTTTTAGAGTGAGCTGTACTAGGCCTTAGCAGACCAGACCAAACCCAAAATGGAGTCACTCAAGCTTAATGCCAAAGAATCACAAGGATTGTTAGAAGTAGCGAGATCCTAAGACAGAGCAGTTTTTCCTCAAAACAGGAAAGTCCAGTCCACCTGAGCATAATAAGGAAGTCTTCCCTGCTTTAACTCCTGCAAAGGGTAACCTGATGTTAACCAGCCGGCCTTTCCCCTCTTATTGCCAACTTACAAAGCCCACTGTCTGCCATTGTACAGTGGAAGCTTTCACTGTTGTGCACAATGGATTCTGCCCCCAATTCATGAATCACAAATAAAAGCCAATTAGACCTAAAACTACATTTGTTGTCATTTTGCCTCCTGACATCCCCACAGAAGCGAGTGCATGGCAGTCCCCGGAGCACTTACCTTGGCAATGATGACTTCCTTCCGCAGGATCTTCATGGCATAGTAGCGGCCAGTGGCCTTCTCCCGCACTAGAATGACTTTGCCAAAGGTGCCTTTGCCGAGGAGTTTGAGATAATCAAAGTCATTCATGGTCTGTGGGGTGGAGAGAGAGCAGGGTCGGTCAGTGCTGGCACTTGGCCCATGGAAGGAAGTTTTAACAAAGAAAGAGAAAAACCAAAAGATGTTGCTTCGCTGGCAGAGGCTTGAGTGGGAGGGGCACCGGGCAGCAACTGTCCCAAGTGGCCTACAGCCCCAGGCTCTCCCAGGCACAGGCCTCAGACGCAGGGCCCTGGAGCTTTCTATTTGGGGAAAGCCCCCTGGTCCCATGGCACAGAGCAGCCTCTGTGACAACCATCCTGTCCCACATGGCACTGTGTAGTCTCTGGGATAAAGCTTTGCACACTTTATATGGAACCAAGGGAGACAGGGCCAGCACAGCCCCAGCCCCTGGCCACCTGCCCCAGCACTTACCACTTTGGCTCGTGCCTTGCTGACTGCCACTTCCATCTCCTCAGTCGTGGAAGAGTCACTTGGGGAGCCACACTTGTAGTCCATGGGATCCTCACCAGGAACTCGCTGCTTAAGGCTGTTGGCAACCATCTGGATGGCCCGCATCCACTCCTCCCTGTTTGGGGATACACTTGAGTCCCTGGCCTCAGGAGTGAGAGGGCTGAAGGTCAACTCCCAGAAAAGTCACAGCCCAACCTCCTCCAATGGGACAGCAGACACCAAACCCCTCTAAGGACTCTGGGGAGCAACGGGTGAGCTAAGCAGAACTGATGGGGCCTGACTGACATCTTACAGGCCTGTTGCTTCGGGTGGGGGAAATGTACCAAGAGAGGAATCCTCCATCTCCCAGGAGAGGCCTGACAGTGCTAAAACAATCAAAAGGGGAGGCTGCTTTTGTTCACAACCCCTTGAGAAGGAGCCACCACCCTGAGCCTTGAATGAAGGAGGGACAGTGTTCCTCCCCAGCTCCTCCAGAACAAGTGGCCAATTCAAGTTTATAAGTCACTGATGTCTTGTACAGGAAAACCAAGAATAAAAGAAAGCGGCCGAGAGCCAAAGCAGTTGAGAAAATCTTACAAGGCCAGAGCGCCGGCAGGACTCCCTAGAGGGACAGATCGTCTGCCCGGCAGGGCCTGTGCACACCCAAGCGGAGCAGTGTTACAAGCTGCTAGGAAACAAGTTTTTTCAGTACTTGCAAACTTTCTTTCTTTCCAGTAAGTGCAAATGAACAGAGACAAAAAAGAAAAACTATTAGGCTGAATGACTGCTCACATGGCCCTATTTTGATCTACCATATAGCAACCTTAGGTGGCTCAATCCAGTGTATGTGAGTGCCTGTCTACTGTGCTTGTGCCTGAAAAAAAACATGACTAGTGGGAGAAAGCAAATGTATTCGCTAAGAAAGAGGTAATTCAAAGAACAAATAAGCAGGCAACTTCCCAAATCCTGGTGACTGAAATAAGCCGCAGTGAGTGCAGCCAGCTCTGTCAGGAGCCAGGAACCAAGAGCAGGCTGAGCCCTTCACACACATCTTCCAGAACCACCCTCATGGCAGGCGCTGCAGCTCTGGTGCTGCCCAGGCACTGAGGGCCCTGCCCATGGACTCCAGGGCACGAGTGGAGAGACAGTGCAGACAAGCCTGAGCCTGGTCCCCTACGCCTAGGACTGCGTCCCTGCGGGGCAAGAGGGACCACTTCTATTCCCCTCAGGTATACAGCATAGTTTTCCATGCTGGACACTGGCGAATACAGTCACACCTTAGGGCTAGCAGTCTGTCATCATTTAACTGAGCACTGCTTTCCTGGTGTTATGTAAAAGTGTGTCTCCCAGATGGTGGCATCTTGGACATACTGGAGCACGCCAGTTTACACAGGGCTGTTGTGGGATGGCGAGATCGCACAGGAAGCATCTCTGCAGTCAGCCTGCAGCTGAGAGAGAGGCAGATCTGGGCGAGGGCTTGGAGGGATCTAGATAGCTCACACAAAAAAAGGAAGGTGCAGGACTCTGTGGAGTCCTACACTATCAGAGTTAGAAAACAGACTTTCTGCTCACACATGCTCAGGTGCACACCAATATCCTGCAAGTGCAGTCAGGACTCTGGAGCCCTGACCACCTCCAGGGAGGGGAACTGGGAGCCAGAGACCACGAAGAGGCTTCTAAAATAAACACAAAGCACTTGAGCTTACTGACCACCTGCTACTGCCTCATTACACAGGAGGAAACTATGACACAGACTACAAAACAAATGCAAGAAAAAAATACAGTGGGTGCCCCAAGCCAAACAGCCAGGCTCACAAAAGCCACTGGCCTCCCCGAGGGCAGGTTGTTGTCACTTAGCTCTGTGGCTGGCTGAACTGAGCAAGGACTAAGCTCAGAGGAGCCCAGTAAGCCACAAGAGGTTCTGCCTTCTCAAACTGGCCTCCCTCACACATTTTTCCATCCTGTCTTGTAAGAGAGATGCATGAATACCACGTCACGCTTCACAGGACAGAGGCACTGAGCACTGATATACTGCCCCTCCCCACCAAGCAGAGCCCAGGGGCACCACAGCCTTCGTGCTGGTCCTGCAGGGCAGGGATCTGCATCTGCTTCAACCTCCATGTTCAAACATGGAGGTGCCCCCCAGTACTGTCAGGGTGCTCAGTGAGTATCTAGGTAAAGGCCAAGTGGGGCAGCCCTGCGGCCTGGGCACAGTAAAGCCAATGCAATCTCAGGCAAAGTGGGGCTGGGCTCATCCCTCCCTGACCCAGCACCTCCAGCTAGTGTTTCTCAAATGGTTTTAACTGTACCCACTTTGGAGTAAGCTGCAGCCTAAAACCCAATCCCTGTTTTATTATTACTATTTTTCCAAAAAGGGCTAGAAGGAGGGTAGAGACACATCCTATGATATGCTTTATCAATCACAGCTGTCTTCTTAGAAAAGTTTTAATGTTGATTTTGCTGAGTGTGGTGGCGCATGTCTGTAACCCCATCCCTCGGGGAAGCAGAGGCAGGAGGACTGCTTTGAGATTTAGGCTAGTCTGGGCATACAGTGAGTTCAAGGCCAGTCTAAAACTACACAGTGAGACCCTGTTTCAAAAAAACCAAAAATAAATAAATAGAAATAAAAGGCTGATTTTGAGGATTAAGATGGTGGACTAAAAGAGACAATCACAGATCTCCTAAGAAAAACATGTAGCTCTCACAGTGATTCTGAGAGACTGGCACCTGGGGTGGACCAGGAGCACTCCTTCCAAGCTGGCTTGCCCACCCTATGCAAAGCTCTCACACTCTCATGGAAGGTACTGAGAGGACACGGGAGGCCCAGACCGAGCCCACCAACCAAGAGCCACGGACACCATCCAGGATGCATGAGGTAGTCAGGGTCACTTGAGCTGTCCTGCAGCCTGACCAGCCTTGGGGCCAGTTCCAAATGGACCAAGGTTGAATGGTTACAGCAACACTCAGAATCCAGAGGAAAAGCAAAAACCTCTGTCCAGCACATTCCTCAAGGGTTTGCAACACAGTGTCTGGAGGAGCTCCCACCCAAAGGGGACACCAACACAAAATCCCCAGGGAAACCCACCCACCTTCTAGCCAAAAAACTCAAGAAACAGCCATGAATAGGCAGTTCCACAGTCATCTCATTTGGTTCTCAAGAACATGAGGAGGATCCCAGCACTCAGGAGGCTGAGGCAGGAGGATCACTGTAAATTCAAGAGCAGCCTGGGCTACAAAGTGAGCCCAAGACCAGCCTAAACTACTACTGCACAGGAAGATCCTGTCTCAAAACGACCAAAAAAAGAACACAACAAGGAGATGTTGATGTGGAGACTGACGGACACAGAAGTACAGTCACTCGTGGCAATCACACAGGCAGAGCTGGGGCTTGTACCCAGGTCCACTCTACTACTCCCTGGCCCCATGCCACCCTTTCTGGGCCAGTAGTCCAAAGGAGCTGTGATTCCTAGACAAGGCTCAAGAGGATCAAGTGAGAATACTCTCAAGAAGGTTCATGGAGCCAGGTGTGTGGTGCACACCTGTAATCCCAGCACTTGGGAGGCTGAGGCAGAAGGATCACTGTGAGTTTGAAGCTAGCCTAGGCTACAAAGTGATTTCAAGGTGAACCTGAACTGTACAGTGAAACCCTGTCTTAAAAAAAACAAAGAAAAGAAAAAGCAAGACACATCATGCCATAGAGCCCAGGGTCAAAGTAGAAGGACACCACCCCTCAGAGCTGTGACATGGACCACTGTCCACAGAGGACCTTCCCCAGCAAACACTAGCATCGATACACCCACCTACAGAGACAGTCATTGTTGTGCTCTGTGTGAATTAATGCCTTTCATCCTTCCAACAGCCTAGGCAGCAGGTACTGTTAATGTCACTCTACAAATGGGAACACTGAGACACAGGGAGGCTGACATTTTCCTACATGCACAGCCAGCAAGTGGAGGACCAGGAACGTAAACCTGGGTGTTTCCACATCACCCAGGAGCTCTTCCCCTACCAGGGATACCTTCTGCACCCTTCTTGTCCCTCACCTGGGCTCTGGGGCCAAGGGAAAGACATCTGGGGAAGTGCTGTTTGCCCAAGCAACAGCCAGCAGGGCACAGCCCAGCACACAGTACAGGCTGGGAGTCGAGAGCCAGGGCCTGGGCCTCAGTTCTGCTGCATACTGGCTTGATGGCTCTGAGTTGGGCCGCACCTGGCCTCCCACAAAATGTAGGGCTCAGTAGTGAGAGCAAACTCCGGAGCTGGTGGCCTGGGTGTGAGCCCAGTTCCATCCTTTCCCAAAGCCAACACTGCACAGGTGCAGCAGCTGACACACAACGTAGGCACTAGCAGGTCACACAGGGCACATGAGACACTGGGTACAAAGAACTTAGAACAGTGCCTGGCACTGTGGAAGTACCTCAAAGAGCCGTGAGGATCCACCTGCCAGACCACCAATATCTGCTCAGTGCCTTCTATGAGTCAAGCCTTGTCCTGGACACTGAGGAGGCAGCAGAGAACATGGCTAAAAGGACAGCATGCCCCCATTTAAACATGGTTTTGCTTCCCCCAATCTCACTTACCTATAGTGAGTGGTAATCCAAAAATACGGAATAGAAAATTCAAGAAACAATTAAGTTTCAAGCTGCATACTACTCTAAGTGTTACGATGAAATCTTGTGTAGTTCTGCTCCGTTCTTATTGCTAACTGCTTTCTGTGCCTAATGTATAAGCCAAATCTTATTGCAAGTGTGTATGGATAGCTAAAAGCACAGCACATGCAGGGTTGAGCACTATTCAGCATCTCTGGAGCTTAGAATGCACCCCCCTTGGATGAGAGAGGATTATGCAGCAAGGCAAGGACCAGAGGTAGACAGGGAAGGGCTCTCTGAGGAGGTGGCACCTAACCCAGGCAGGATCAGAGAGATATCATGGGAACATGGCCCAGCCTCAGTGCCTCCAATAGGCATCTGCAGTGAAACCAATGAGACAGAAAGACAGAGCCAGCTGCAGACAGCTGGGGAGGGAAAGGATCTAGGCAGTGGGAGCAGCAGGGCAGAGCCCCAGGGGAGGAAGAAGTCTGCCCATCTGCAGACGGCACAGCAAGAGCCAGCATCACTGGGGCCAGCAGAAGAGGGGAAACGATGAGGGCAGGAAGGACAGGCCCAGACGTGGACAGGAAGGAGTGGGTTTTAGGGGCTACTTCACTTAGGGATCTAGGCCTTAATCCTTAACACCACATGAAGCAGCTAAAGAGTATGACCCGGGTGACAACAGAACTGATTTCCATGTCAAGTCAGTGGCTGCTGACCAGGGCCACACCCTGCTGGTGAGGGGTGGCAGGGCAGGAGAAGAGTGAGAGAAACATGCCGGCAGCCTTGGATGCCAAGGGACTCCACGCTGTGGGGCCTGGAGGCTTCTGTGCACTTCCCCCGTCATCTCGACAGCAAGGAGCTGAGCCCAAAAAGGGACAGGGCAGGCAGCCACCCTGCCCAAGAGCCTGGGCCTACCCCATGCTGCCCTGCCCAGTGGGACCCACCATGCCTGACGGAAATGTTCAGTGAGGGGTGACTGGGCTCTCCCCCACCCAGCATGGGAGGACAAGCTGACTGGGCCCATCCACGTGGAGGGGCATTTATGGCACCTGAGGTCCCTCTCTGCTCAGGCAGCTTCAGCCTATGTGATAAAGTAAATTATTACATGTATCATCCTTAGACTGGGGTCTGGTTCACAAATAATTGGTTTTAATTATTCTTTTATTCATCCAACAAATATTCACTGACCACCTATTTATGTGCCAGGCATAAATACCATAAATATAGGCTGGGCATGGTAGTGTACTTCTGTAATCCCAGGGCTTGGGAGGCTGAGGCAGGAGGATCACTGCAAGTTCAAGGCTATAATGTGAGTTCAAGACCAGCCTGAAGTTCCCAGTGAAACCCTGTTTTAGAAAGATCAAACTAAAGGCTGGGGATTGAGCTCAGCAGGCATAAGCGCCTGCCTTGCAAGTGTACATCCTGAGTTCAAGCCCTGGTACCCAAAAACAACAACAAAAAACCTATAAATATCAAATAGCACATTGGTAGGTAGATAATTGCTACGAAGAAAAAACAATGAAGCCGGGTAAGGCTAGAGAGTCATGGTGGGAAGGGCAGGACGCTCTGAGAAGGTGACAAGTAAGCAGCGACTTTGAGAAGTTAAGGAGACAGCCATAAAGTCTCTGGAAAGAGGTCCTAGGCAAAGGGAACAGCAAATGCTAGCGCCCTGAGGTAGGAGTGTGTGCAGCACGTGTAAAAGGGCGGGACTTGGAAGACATGGTACACACACCCACACTGACTCCAAGTGTGACTAAAAGTCACTTGGTTCTGAGCAAAGAAATTCCAACCAAAAGGCTGCACTAAGCTAGCACACTACTAAGCACTCCTGTCCAAACTACGGGTCTGCAAACTGTTTCCTGAAAACAAATTTTCAGGCTTTGTGAGCCACAGTTTCTATCACAACTGTTACAGCAGGACAGAGCAACTAGGGACAATGCATAACAAATGGACATGGTCATTTTGCAACAAAAATACCAAAACAGAAGCAGGTCTGTATTTTGCCAACCCTGCTACAGACTGAACTTCTGGTTTACAGGAAAGATAGGCACGGGGCAACAGAGCAATGATGCCAAAAGGCATTAGGATGAAGTCCAGAATACGGGACAGCCTACAAATCAACTGGCCTGGCTTGTCAAGAATATCACATACCTCAGGAGAGAAGGCAGTGGGGAGAAGGACGAAGGGCAGTACTAGATAAAAACAGGCTGGGGCCAGTATGGTGGTGCACACTTGTGATCCCAGAACCTAGGAGACTGAGGCAGGAGAACTGCTATGACTGAGGCCGGCCTGGGCTGCATAGTGAGTTCAAGGCCAGCCTGAACTGCATAGCAATGCTGTCTCAAAAAAACATAACAAAAAATAAAAACAACAAAATCAATCTTTTTTAAGACCAGGAATGGTGGCACGTGCCTATAACTCCAACATCTGAGAGACACAGGTATGAGGATCACAAATTCAAGGCCAGCCTGCATAAATCAGTGATTTAGCAAGACCCTGTCTTAAAATAAAGAAGGGGCTGGAGATGGAGCTCAATGAAAGGCTCTAGGTTCAATCTCAGTATATTTAAAAACAAAAAAACGTTATGGGGATAACTTGGGAAATTCAAGTGTGCAATGGGCAGACAAAGGAAACACATATTTGGGTAAGTATTCCTTACTCAAAATGCTTGAGACCAGCCACGCTTCTGACATCACAGTTTTTGGTTTTCAGGATTTGTGCACAGACATTACTATATGGTTGACCATCTTCAGCCCAAAAGTCTGAAATACTTCAAAGTGACTCTCAAGGTCATATTTTGCAGCATCTCATTTCAGGTTTTAGATTTTCAGACTAAGGATGTGCCACTGTATCTCAGGAGTGACACAGGAGAAGACCCTTATTTGTAGCAGACACCTACTAAAGTAGTACAGAATAAAGTATGAACAGGCGCTTAATTCAGCACACAACAATTAAAAGGAAAATAACAAAATCTCTAGTCAGATGAGGCAAACAGGACAAAGGCACAGCAAGGCAGCACTGAAGTGACCATGATGCCTGGCCCCAGCATGCCCCGTCAGTCTTGCCACCCTGTCTCTCCCAGGGCTCAGGCCCAAAAGGAGTGGGGCAGCAAGGACAGCATCAGTTGGCTGTGAGCAGAGTAGAGGAGGTCTCCCCTCTGCTAGATTCCTGGCTCCTCAGGCTGGGGTCAGGAATTGGAAGTCTGCGATCTCTGGGTCTGACCCAGTGGCTTCCTCTGCAGCAGACAACAAAAAGTGCCAAGAATGGCAAAAGGGCACGGGAACATTTCAGCCCCCATAGTCTCAGTAACAGGAGTTTCCCCACGTTGAATGGTACCAATCACGCAAAAATGGAAAGTAGACCATCTTTCTTGCCTACTAAACTGAGCTGGCAGCTCCCCACTGCTCTGTTTCCAGGCTTGCAAACCATGTGCCAGGTTTGCTAAATCAAGGGCTTCCTGTTTATCATCCCCCTGAATCTCTTACCAACCCTGGGATAAACCCCAGTTTATTAAGTGCCTGCCAAGCCCTGCAGGGATCTCCATCTGGGGGCCAAAAACCCTGGCTGGGCTCTCTAGTCTCCAGCGCCCCCATTTCCCCTCTTCCAAGGCTCCTGCCCTTTGATTCTCTGGTGACGCACAGCTTGCTGTGGTCCCTGGAACACACAAAGTGTTTCACCCCCAGGGCTCCCCTGAGCTGCTCAGTCCTTTTCCATGGCCAACTACTAGCCATCCTTCAAAACTCATTGTAACACTCAGATCCTAGGGACTTAGCAGTTTAGAGTTGCTTTCTCAGGTGGCCGATGTTTTGGTCCCCAGTATTCAACTAACACCACAGCTGGCCCAAGATGGCAATTCTGTTCCCCTTGATAGGGCAAGTATATTTTTAACCTCAGGGAGACATGCAACAATAATTACAGTATAGACTGTGGTAGTATCTTGTGACACAGCATTGGGCAGGCTAGAACTGCACCATCCAAGGGTAGCCACAAGGTACATGTATGGCCAGTGAAACTGAAAAAATCAAAATTCCATCCCATCCTTTCATCATCATCCTCCAAATGCCCACACACAACTAGCTGCCCCTGTGGTGGACAATGCAGACCTGGAACATTCCTGATGTGGAGCTCTCTTGGAGGCTCCTGTTTTAGGCTTCCTCAGGGGTTCAGCCAAAGCCCCACCCTACCAAAGAGCTTGGCAAGTGTTTCTCAAACCATGGTCCAAAAAGATAAAGAGGGAGGGAAAAGGTTTGCCACTCATTACAAAGAGTCAAGTTCAGGTATAAGAAAAAGACCAGCCACCCAATAAAACAAGAGGCAAACAATACAGGCAGTTCAGGAAGAAAGCACAGGCATTTGGGATTTAGCTCAGCGGCATAAGTGCCTGCCTTGCAAGTGTGCACTCGTGAGTTTGATCCCTGGTACCGATAAAAACGAAAAAGACAAAAAAAAAAAAAAAAAAAAAAAAAAGGAAGAAAGCACACATGGCCCTTCAGGGTCAAACTCATCCAGAGAGAGAGAGACAAACTTCCTGCAATTTCCCTCTGCTCAGACTGGCAAAAATCCAAATGCTGGAAAACACTGAGCTGTAGGGACAGTCACAGACACCCTGACAGACACATCATTCAAATTCACAAACGAGTATTCCTGTGATTAGCGCTCCTACGTCTAAGAATTCATCATCCAGGACTCATGTACACAGGAAACAAGTAACTTCACTTCGGCACTGCTTGTGATGAGCCAGAGGCTGGGAACCACCCCAGTTGCCATTAACAAACTGCTAAGTAAACCGAGGAACACGAGTGGCCAGCTGTTAAAAAAGCAAAACAAACATTGTGGTGACAGCAGCGGTTCTCTATACATGGAGGCAGCAGGGTTCCCGGCGACACACTGTAAAGCAACAGCAGCAAGTTCAGGGCTGCACAGGAGGACCCCACCTGCTCCTCCAGCACACGAAACGTGGTCATTAACTGGGGGGGGGGGGGGGGACGCACAGAGGGGGATGCAGCAAAGCTTTCAGTTTTTTGTTGAAGAACTGGGAGTAGAATCCATACCCCGAGCCCCGGTCTGACTTTTGAACCACAAGAATCTACCATTTCTTCTGATTATTAAGTGGTCTTTTCCCACGACTCTCTCAACCACTGCTTCAGAACCAAGAACTCACTAGGAACACAGATTCCTGACCCTCTGCAGATCACTGAGTAAAAGCTCTGCCTCGCACACTGTGGTGCCCCTCAAGTCTGCAAACAGTGAGGTCTTCAAACCAAAAACCCAAGCTCTTCTCAGTACCAGCTGGGGGTGCCCTACACTAGAAGGGCTGCAGACTTGGCACTACTGCAGTGGGAACTCATCCATCTGCACCTCTCCCCTCCTAGCAGGCCTGGCCACTCTAAAAGGCAGCCACATGCAGGCCCAGTTTCACCTCTCATCTGGAGAGTCCACATGGAAGGTCCTCTCAATGACCGTGGTCCACTGCAGACAGCGTATGACAAAGGTGTTAGGCCGCGGCCTCTCCGTCTTCATCAGCTGGCATTCTGTGATGGGGAAGGAGACAGTAGGGAGAGAACTCAGCCTGCAGCCTGCAGTTCCCAAGCAAATTCCGATGTGCTGATGGCGCCAGGAACCCTTGATAGACTGAGGGGCCCTGACTCTGCCCTCACAGGCTCCAAATCTAGCATGCAAAGGCGGCAGCCTGACCACCAGACAATGAAGACTCAGTTTGGAATGGCAAACACCAGAGGAGGCATACAATCCTGCCTGGGGCATCCCTGAGGAAGGGGCACTCTGAACTGACCCCTGAAAGCAAAGGGAACTCAGTTAGTGAAGTGAGAGGGGTCCAGGTACCCAGGAGCCACCTGCTCCAAGCATGAGAAAAGGAGAGACAAGCTGGACAGATAAGCTGGCACCGGCCAGCAAGGCTCTGGAGGCCATGGGAAGGAGTCTGGACTTTGTCCCTGGGGTAGCAGGGAACCAGGGAAGGGACATGAACAGCGCAAGATCGCACCCTTTGGTGGTCATGGAGGATGAAGGTGGAGGCCAGAAGCCAGGGAGGAGGCCGCAGCAGGACCCAGCTAGAGAGAAGACACACCGAAGCAGAGCGGTACACAGGCAGGGGGCAAGGGCAGCAGGGGAGGGGATGAGAGGGTACTTTGGCCCAGGCCTCGGGCATAGCAGGACTACTCCTGAGATGGAGATGGAGCGGGAAACTGGAAGGACAACCAGGACAGGGTGAGCATGAAGGACCTAGGGAATACTCAGGAAAGAATGTTCAAGAAGGAGCTGGAGGCAAATAAAGTTCAAGAGAAACACTAGGGCTGTCACAGATGTGTCAAGACTGTCGGCACATGGAGAGAGGACCAGAGAAAAAGTTTCTGCAGAACAGGGTGGGACTGGGTCTGGGATCCTGGAGGGGTGAGCTGGGGAGGTCACTGTAATAGGGACCTGAGGAGAAATGGGGTTGGAGTACACCTGAAAAGGTGGGTCTAAAGAAGGGGCAGCCTATGAAGCACTCTTAGCAGGTTCAATAACCAAGACATGTTGCCAATCAGGTCAGCTGGGAAGGAAACAGGAAAGGGAAAGGAAGCCAAGGGCAGGATCGTGTTCTGCAAGGACTGGGCAAGGACTTTAGGCTTAGGAAGCTGATCCAGCTAGGAAACAAATACCATTTAGGATACCACAGAGGGAACCAAGGACATGAGGTCAGCACTGCAGTCAGCTGAATAGGAAGCTGCGACCCTTCTAGGTCAGAGGGACAGAGACAGGAACTGTTGCCAGAGTAGGATGGAAGGGCAGGGCCAGGTGAGGCTAGAACTACGGCAGGGCTGGCTGGGCAGAAACGCCCTTGGCTTCTCACCTCTCAAGCTCCATCTCCCCGTGGGACAGTCCCACAGGTCCCAGCTGACCAGGAGGGACAGCAAGGAAATGGTGGGAACTAGATACAAGATAAGGCCCAGCACAGGCCTCTCAGCCACTCCTGGTTCCTCCAAGACCTGCCAGCTGTTTGTTCCCTGAGCTCTAGAGCCCTGGCCTCTTACCCTGACACACACCTGCTACAGAGAAGTTGTTTAAGGGAGGTAAAGTCTGGTCAGGAGCCTCAGGCCTCTCCTTATACCCGATGAAGGAGCCATCACTCTTCAGCAGGAAATATCGGGGCCTCCAGGTCTTGATGTACTCCCCTGAAACGAGGCAGGAGGGAGGGAGAGAGAGGTCAGGGCTAGGTTGTCCCAGGCAGACAGGCAGGAAGCCCAGCATGATAGTGACTCCCAAGGGGTACGGCAGAGGGAAGAAGAGTAGATGAGTCTCTCCTGGGGATCTCGCGAGGTGGCCCTGCTGACACAGGCTTGGGCACTGGCCTGGCCCAAGTGATCCGCAGATCATGCCTGGCAGGAAGGTGCCTGCAAAGTGCCCCAAGGCACCAGCTGCCTCAGCGTGTGGCCAGAAGCAAGCTATCCCTGCCAGCATAGGACTGTCCCAGAGAAGGCAAATGCCCTATGGCCCTGTGAGCCCAAATTCCATAAGGCTGACTGACATCAACACAGTGGTGCAGGTGAATCAAATATCAAAATACTGCTGTGCTGGGAGGTACAGCTGTTGCCACACTCTCTTGAGCGCTCCTCAACCCCTTCCATTTGTGCTGATCATAAATATGCAAGCACACTTCATGGGACACACACTAGTGTACAAGGATCCATTCCACAGAGGGCTAAGGGTTAAAATGAGACGGTGTAATGCACATCCACACAAAAACTTACACACAGATGTCACAGAAGTGTTACAATAGTCAGTGGAAACAACCTAAAGCCCATCAGCTTATGATGGGTAACCAAAACACGGTGGTACCATGTAATACAACATTGTCTGGTCATGAAAAAGAAAGGAAGTACTGATAAATGAGGACAAACTGTATCTTACGCTAAGTTCACAAAGTCAATCTCAAAGGACCACCAATTACAGACACTCACTGACTTATGATGATTCAGCTTCCTATAACAGTGTCAAAGAGACAGGCAATCAGTAGGAAGTGTACTTCAAACTCTGAATTGTGGACCAGACTTGGTGGCTCACACCTAGAATCCCAGCACTCAGGAGGCTGACACAAGAGAATCACTATGAGTTTGAGGGCAGCCTGGGCTACACAGTGAGTTCAAGGCCTGCCTGAACTACATGGCAATACCCTGACTCAAAAACAAAAACAAACAAATAAAAAACACCAATTTTTGAGTTGTGGTCTTTTCCCAGGCTTGTGGTACTCAATAGGAAGCCTGCTCTCACAATGCTAGGCTCCCTGTCGGCCACACTAGTCACATGGGCCCTGTGACTGTGTTGCTAAGCAATGGTATTTGGCAGGTTACATATATTAAATGCATTTTCAATGGAATGATATTTTAACTTATGGTGGCTTTGCCAGGGTGTGACCCCCCATTGTTAATCTTAATGTCAACTTCACAGAACAAAGCGACTCCTGGACAGGCAATTAGACCAGGGAGGCACTGCACTCATCTGTGGATGACTCCACATGCTCCCAGCTGAATGTGTAGTAAGGAGGAGGGGCCCAGCTGCAGGTGGGGCAGGCCGGAGTGTGAAAGTGGATCTCTCCAGGGTGCTGTTCCCCAGTGTTCGGCTTCCCAGGCGCCAGGACATAACCAGCTTTCCTTTACCATGCCTTTCTGTCCTGGAACCAGCTGGCCACGGCTTTCAGCATTCTGAAATCTGGCGCCAAATTGAGCCTCTCTTCCTAGAGGCTGCAGCATTTATTTGGTGTTTTGTCCAAGGAACTGGAGAGCTGACCAATCCATAATCATGCAGTGTCTCTCTGCAGAAATCTACTTGGGAGGTACAGTCTTCAGGAAGCTGGAGAGTAACAGCCACCAGGATGGTGGCAGGGTTCCCTTCAGGATGCTAAGATGTCCTAAAATTAGTCATGTTGGCTGCACAAGTCTGATATACTAAAAACTATCACACTGTACAGTTCAAATGACTGAATGGTGAGGTATGTGAACTGCATCTCAATGAGAGGGCAGCCTTGAAGCTCAGCTTAGAGCCTATCACACTACCAGCTCTCAGTCAATGCTCTTTGCCATCAGCTGACCACACTGTGTAGAAGAGTGCTGTGCCCAGTCCTTAACTCCCACAGCACACCAGCAGGCAGGAGGACAGGCATTTGCCATGTGGAATGCCCCAGTTAAAACAGCTCACTTTTCACCAGGCATGCTGGTGCATACCTGTAATCCCACAACTTAGGAGGCTGAAGCAGAAAGATTGCTCAAGGCCAGGATGGGCTACATAGTGAGTCCAAGGCCAGCCTGAACTACACAGCAAGACCCTGTCTCAAAAACAAAAACAATTCACAAAGTAATTACTACAGCTAATAAATTCAGCAAGATCAACACACAATAAATCAGTTGTTTCTATACATCAGCAACAAATAAAACAAATGGACATTAAGAAAACAATTCCTCCCAAACTAGTAAGATTTATTTTAAAAATTTTTAAATTTGGGGATTTAGTTCAGTGGCGTAAGTGCTTGCCTGGCAAGCACGAGGTCATGAGTTCAACCCCCAATATTGAAAAAAAAAAATTTAAACTCAATTTATAATAACTTCCAAAAGAATAGGGATTAATTTAATCAATGAGGTAAAACACTTTCACACTATAACAGATTGAGAAAATGAGTTTAGTGGTACCCACCTACAATCCTGGAAACTCAGGAGGCTGAGGCAGGAGAAACACAAATTCAAAGCCTGCCTGAGTAACTTCATGAGATTCCATTGTTGTGTCCAGAGGATGAACACCACCCACTGCTCCAAGGCAGGTGCCGAGCACCACTGCCCCTTGGAGGGGAACAACTCTCTGGGATTCTTAAACTTCATATTAATCAAACGTTAGAGATACAAGGAGGTTTTATTGTTTTTGTTTTGGTACCAGGGATCCAACTCACAACCACATGCTTGCCAGGCAGGTGCTTGTACCTGCTGAGCTAAATCCCCAGCCAGAGATACAAGAGATACAAGGTTTAGGGAAAGGAAGACTTTTTTTGGAAAGAGGAAAAAAAAAACGAGGAGAGATAACTATCTTAAATGAATCACAGTAGGAGGCTCGGGAAGATGGAGGACCCGAGGGACTTTGACCTCAGCCCTTTTAGAGTGTGGCAGAAAGACCCTGTCCCCCCAACTTACTATATCCTGATTGGATACTTCAGGCTCCTCGGTCCCACCCTAGGTACTACTGTGTATGTGCAAATTTTTATGTAGGCATTGTTCTTTGTTGCTGTTCTGTAGAAGAATTTATGGGTTTGTTAAAAGCGCTTTACATATAAGGTTGAGTTAACTAGTAAAGGGAAACATACTAAGACAAAAATATCCGTAATAAATAACAACTGTCTTTTTTTTTTTTTTGTAAAGGGTCTCGTTACTTGGTCCTGGCTGGCCTTGAACTCACTGTGAAGTCCAGGCTGGCCCCAAACTCACAGTAACCCACATGCCTCAGTCTTCCAAGTGCTAGGCGTACCCAAAGGCCAAGAGCTCTTTTAACTGGTCACCTTGTCTTCCTGGAAAGTGGGGGTAGATATCTAGGCTGATTTGGTTAGAACACTGCTGACTTACTAGTTTTTGTCTTGTTAATTGTTTTCTCAATAAAGTTTTAACTGTGTTTTGGTCTGGAATAGCCACAAAGCCCAATGAGGCTTTTTCCTGTTTATAGACTCCTTTTCCCTACACTGTCACAAAATGAAAATGTCTGGGCAAATGGCTTAGTGGCAAGGTGCTTGCCTGGCATCATGCTCAAGGCCCTGGAGGGAACTAAATCACAAAAGAAATTTAAAACCCTAAACCAGGAGTGGTAGCACACACCTATAATCCCAGCACTCAGGAGGCTGAGGCAGGAGGCTTGTTGTTAGACCAGCCTAGGCTACAAAGTGAGCTCAAGGCCAGCCTGAACTGCACACAGCAAGACTCTGTCCCAAAAAGACAAAAAATTGGGGGCTGGGGATTTAGCTCAGCGGCATAGGCACCTGCCTTGCAAGCAGGTGGTCATGAGCTCGATCCCCAGTACCGATAAAATAGAAAAAGACAAAAAAAAAAAAGACAAAAAATTAATTAAAAAATTAAAGACCTAAATAAATGAAAAGATCCTGTGTTCCTGAATTGGAAAGATAACATTGTTAGGATAGTAACACTGTCCAAAGAGATATAGAAAATGCAACAAAATTCCAATGGTTTCTTTTTACAGAAAGGAAAAGGCAATCCTCAAATTCTGATAGAATTGTAAAGTGCCCACAGTTAAAACAATATTCAAAAATAATGTAGTTTAAAGATTCACACATCCCTAGGGGCTGGGGATTTAGCTCAGTGGCATAAGTACCTGCCTTGCAAGCAGGCGGTCTTGAGTTCGATCCCCGGTACCAATAAAAAGTTAAAAAAAAAAAAAAAAAAAAGAACAAAGATTCATATGTCCCAATTACAAACCTTACTATGAAATTACAGCAATTAAAACAGTCTGGCAGGCCAGCCATTGGTATTGCGTGCCTATAATCCCATCACTTTTGGAGGCTGAGGCAGGAGGATCACAAGTTTGAGCCCAGTCAGGGGAACTTAGTAACTCAGTAAGACCCTGTCTCAAAATTTTAAAAATTTTAGGGTTGGGGATACAGCTCACTGGTACAGCACCTGCCTATAAGTGCACAGTCCTAAGTTTGATTCCCAGTACCAAATTTTTTTTGCTCAGTATGAGGGCCCTGAGTGCATAGACAACACATTTTATGAAAAGCAAAATGAAAACATTCTCAGTATCATTAGTCCTTACAAAAACATATATGGAAACCACAATGAAATACCCCTCTCATACACACCAGACTGGCTATAATAAAGATTTTTTTAAAAAATACCAAGTATTAGTAAGGATGTAGACAAACTGAAAACGTGGTGCATTTTTGGTAGGAACATAAAAAGGTATAGCCACTGTGAAAGAGTTTGCTGCTTCCTCAAAAAGCTAAATATAGCATATTCTGTGAGTAATAAATGTAGGATATATGAGCCCCATATTTACAGACAGACAGAGACAGACAGATAGACAATAAGAGAAGCTCACTATGAAGTCCAGGCTGGCCTCAAACTCACACAATCCTCCTGCCTCAGCCTCCCAAATACTAGGATTACAGGCTTGCACCACTACACCCAGGTTACAAATATTTATTATAAATATAGAACATATGACTCAGCAATTTTACTCCTAGATATGCACATGGAAGAACTGAAAACAGGTATTCTAACAAATACTGTGCATTTTGTTCAGAGCTGTATTATGCACAACAGACACAAGCTAGACCGTGGAGTACATCAAAGATGAATGGATAAATAAAATGTGAGGTATTTATGCAATCAAGTATTTAGTCATAAAAAGAAGAAAATTACTGATACATGTTGTAACATAGAGGAATCTCAAAACCATTATGTTAAGTGAAATGAGCCAGACACAAAAGGCTGCACATGACTCTTCCTATGAAGTATCCAGTCACAACAGAAAAACCCATAAATATAGTGAGGACACTGCTGACTAACAGATGCGGGAGAAGAGAACACAGAGACTGACTGGGTGACAGACATGCTTTGCTTTTGGGGGTGACAAAGATATTTTAGAACTGGATAAAAGCAGTTACACAACATCAAGAATACACTAAGGGCCGCAGTATGATTTTAAATGGTTAATTTCACCTCAGTTTAAAATAAAAAGAGCTCAGGAGGCTGAGGCAGGAGGACTGTTTCAAGTTCAAGGCCAGCCTGAATTACATAGTGAGACCCTGCATCAACAAAACAAAACAGCCCTCCTGTGTGCAGTTACAGGGTAGGATGGCAGTTACTGCTTGGGAAGGACTGGGGTTTCTGACAACCATCTGGCTCTGTATCCTCCAGGCACACTGGCATGGGGCTAGGTTAATATCCAGGGATGTCTCTGTGGTGTTTTACACTTTGGTAACAAGAAAAGGAATCTAGAAAGAAAGGAACAATTGTCTTAACAGTCTTATCCCCATTTACAAGTGAGGAGACCGAGGCACAGACATCCTTTCTTTGCCAAGGATCTTCATAGCCACCACCTGGAAGAGCCAGCACATAGCCCAGAGACCACATGCCTGACCCCAGGCTATGTGTCTCTGCACTGGCAGAAGAGGCCCATGCAGAGCCTGGTGAGCCGGCAGAGGTGTGCGAAGACCCGCGCACGGCAGGAGGGACCAGGCTCAGCCACACTCTGAGCGCATGCCAAGCAAGAGGCAGCATGTCAGTTCAGCACTCCATGGGACCAAAGCCAAGCTCTGCTCTGAAACCTTGCTGAAACCTCGGGCAGTTGTGCTTGGTGCTTAGCTGTAAGATGGCAGCCACCACTGAACATCCAATGCTGGCCCAGGAAAAACCCTACAGCCTGGCAAGGTGGATGTTCAGCAAACCAGGGCAGCCATTGCGCTAAGTAGCAGCTGTGGGATGGCACAGGTGCCAAGACAGCAGCAGGAAGAGGGCCTGCTTTGCTGAGCTCAGATCATGGGCACCAGGGAGGCTCAGGAGTGCATGTGCTCCTGCGCTGCAAAAACCAAGGCAGGTGTGTCCAAACTGGACTGTCGCAGCAGACAGAGACAAGCCTGTGGCCAGTTTACTTGGCTCTGGTAGCATAAATAAAGCATGGTGATTCATGCCTCTAATCCTAGCACTCAAAAGGCTGAGGCAGGAGGATCATCAAGTGAGTTGAAGACAGCCTGAACGACATAGTGAGACCCAGACTCAAAGAAAATGAAAATAAAAGATAAAAAGGTGAAGCCCAAAGAGAGGCTGAGACTCATTTAATGCCAACAGCTAAGTCTAGACTAGAGAGGAACAGTCCCCGGTTCTATAGCCACCTCCAGGCTCTTTGCACTGAGCCCAGGGAGCCACAGGTCTTGCGAAGCTTGAGCTGAGTAAGTAACAGGAGCCCAAGGCTCTGGTGTACCCCTCCCACCTCAATCTGTCACTCAGCAATCATTCATTGAGCACCTATGGTATGTCAAGAACATAGGGGGCAGGGTCTAGAGAGAATCCTGGTTCACAACTTCCCAGAGCATCCTACGCCTGCAGTTAAGAGCCCAGGGCCTCTGTGTGGCCTGAACCAGGGCTCAGGGTGGTAATGGGGGCAGAACCCAGGGTCTTACATACGCTAGACAAGTGCTCTACCACTGAGCCATATCCTCAAGCACCCTACCCCTTTATGGGACAGGCTCTTGCTAAACTACCCAGGCTGATCTCAAATTCATGCTCCTCGGCCCAAGTCTCTAAAGTAGCAGAGATTACAAATATGTGCCACTGTGCTTACCTGCCAAGCACTTTTTGAGGTGCTAGGGATACCATAGTGAATGAACCAATGAAAATCCCTGACCTTGTGGTGCTGACAACATCTGGGACTTAGGCTGTGGACCCATTTTACAGATGTAAAATCAGGATTCAGACAGGTGACCCACCTTTGTCCAGCATCACACTGACAGGAAGTAACAGAGCCAGGGTTAGAGCCTTAATGTCTTCCAAGGTGTAAAAAGCTCCACTGAGACCCCCAAACCAGGGCTCAGGCTCAGGGGCTGGCTTGAGGTACCCTGAATCCCATCTTGGGCTGGAGAGGCAGCTGGAAATGGCTCCCCTCTAATTCCTCTGATAGAGAGGCCTGGTCTTGGGGGGGGGGGGGTGCAGGTACAGGGGAACACAATTTAGGATGGTGGCCCTGCTCCTGCCTGCCCTCTACTGCATGGACCATCACTGGACATGTGTCCCTCACTGGGGCCACCTGCCCACTCCCAGAATGCAAGCCGATGGGATGTCAGCTCCCTAGCACCTAGGACAGTGCCTGGCCCACAATGGCTGCTCTGTGTCTAGCGGATCAATTAGAGTGCTTGAAGAGCCACCGCCCAAGCCTGGCATTCCTCCTGACCAGGGAAGGGGACCCTGAAGCCAGGCAGGGAAATGCTGGCTCTCAGTATCTCCTTCATCTTAGTTGCCTCCCAGCTTCACATGGTTCAAATGCCAATGTGGGGACAAGTGGCCTTAGGACCTGAAGCCTGCTCTCTTCCCTCTCCATGACTTCACAAGGCTTCGGCTTCCCACTGGTACAAGGCAACCAGCCACATCCTGGTTCACAACTTCCCAGAGCGTCCTACGCCTGCAGTTAAGAGCCCAGGGCCTCTGTGTGGCCTGCAGGGCCCGACCCAGGAGGATCATGTCACTCCCGGCCTCGCCCTTGCTCACTCCACTCCTGCCGGGCTGTTCCTAGAACACACAGGCACACTGCTGCCCCAGAGCCTTTGTCCTCGCTGCCCCTTCCCCAGAACACCCCTGCCCAGTCCCTGTGTGACCGAGTCCTGTGTCTCTCTCAGGGCTCTGTTCACTGAACTCCTCGGTGTGGCCTCCCTGACCAGCCCCTCTCCCTCCAGCCCCTCACTCCTCAGTTTCTACTTTTCCCAATAGCGCTTATCACCACCTGAAGTCGTATGTCTGCTTATTGTTTGTCCACACCCCTGCTGGAATGTGAACTCCATGAGGGTGCCACTATGTCCCAGAGCCTAGGGCCACATGGCATATCACTGCGAACACTTGCGGAATGAATGCAGTGCACTGCCTTTGCCACGCTGCCTCAGTAAAATGACTTCCCCTCTCTGGGCCTTGGTTCATTTCTCCGTCTACAAAATGGGGTTATGAGTGAGCTTACAGACCAGAGGCAGGTCCTAAAGGCTGGCCTCTGGGCTCAGAATGCAGACCCACAGCTCCCTCCCAGCCGACCCTGAAGGAGTCTGTAAAGCAGGAATACGGTGGGGGCTGGGCACACTGGCTCTTCACCCAGTGCGACAGATGCAAGGAGAGCTGGCCAGGCATGGTAAACAATCCTATAACCCCAGCCCTTGGAAGGCTGAGGCAGGAGGATTGCTGCAAGTTCAAGGACTGCCAAGAACCTGTCTCAAAAAACAGGAGAGTCAAGTGAGAGAGGAGACACAATGTGGTGGGCAAAAACAGCCCCTTACCGCGCTTGTGGAGCCAGCCTTCTTTGATGACAGACACCTCATTCATGGTGGCAGCGTGACACACTGTCACCTACCTTGGGATAGTTCAGGACAGCTGGACATGCAGGAGATGATATAGACAGAGTTCAATCTGTAAGACAAGAGAGGAGCCTGTCAGAGTAGGAGGGACCCACCCTGGCCTCTTTCCTCAGGTAATGCAGCCCCGCTCACCTAGCTCTGTACCAGGTAGAGCCAGGCGGGGTGGGGAAGTGGGACAGACACAGCTGGGTTCCCAGAAACCCCTATCTGGGGGAAGCAGAGCTCCCTGGCCTATAGGCCACCAAGCCCTGCTCTCAGGCCCCTCCTTTCATGCTCTCTCCCAATCAAGGTAGCTGCAGGCCCGCCCCTGCGTCATTCCCATGCCCCGGTGCTGAGGTAACCCTGGATGAATCAGACAGCCCTAGGCACCCAAGAGTGAGGGTGTGCTCAAAGCCACCAGCATCTGCCTGCCTGCCTGCCCCCAACACTCCCTCCTTTCTCTCTTCCTTCTTCCCCTCGCCTTCTAAACCAAGGAGCCACCAACCTGCTACCTTCAGCAAATTAAGCACACACAGTCCACTCTCTCCCCCGCTCCAAATCCCCTCCACATGGGAGCCAGCAGTCACTCCCCCACTTCAATTCCCTCCCTGCCTCCACCCAATGACTGAGAAAGACAGTGTCCAAGGCCTCAGCTTCAGAATCCTGACAAGTAACCTACTGTATATGCACTTGTGGGCCTAGAAGCCACTCCTGGGGGCTTGATCCCGGTCCTGGTTCCCTCCCCAAGACCTCTGCTTCTGTCCTCAGGAATGAGCAGCCGACAGACTGACAGACGCCGAGAAGGCTGCTGCGTCGTCTCAGGTTCCCGGAGAAGGGAGAAGGGCGCAAGGCAGCTGCCAGCTGGGCCCCTACCTGGAGCCTGGGCCCTGGACTGGGGCCATGGAGCCCCAGGCGCCTTTCGTCTTTCCCAGCCTGGGGTTATTTGCGGACAGCAGGTCAGGAGCTACGGTGGCTCCCAGAGAAATGGCAGCTGGCTCTAGGGACACCCTGGGCATCAGCTTTCTCTCGTGCCCCAGGGGAGCTGATGGGCTGGACACAGTACTGCCTGGCATGTGACAGTGGCAGGCTGCCCAGGCCCTGGGCAGAAGGAAGGGAGGTAAATGGGAGGAAGCGGGAGGGAAGGCAAGATGGACAGCCACGGGAAGTAAACAGAAGGGGGAGCAACCACGGTTATACTCCAAGTTTCTCAAAGGCGAGGACTGGGGGCCAGGAACAGCAGTAAGGGGCTTCCCCTGCCAGCAGGCAGGATACTCCACCCCCAACCACACAAGACAGCTGGAGCCCTCAGCCCTACAAAGCTGGTTAAGTCAACCCCTAATGTAGTTGGGCCACACCGCACACCCCTTCCCTGCCTACCCTACATAAGGCTTGGCTAGTAAGGTCCTCCTGTGCCTCCTCCCTGCCCTGCTGACCTTCCACCACTGGACAGTTAAAGCAACCCTCAAATCTGCTTGAAACCCTTCCACAGCTCCCGCTGCCCTTGGCAAAAAACGTCAGACTCCTCAGCTTAGCAGTCAAGGACTTTAGGAGCAGGCCCCTGCTGCCCTCGGACGGCTGCCTGCTGCTCACTCAGCCTGCACAACTCCCAGCATCGCTTGGCTGTCCCCATAACCCTTGGCTAGGCCTCTTAATAGCCTCTCCACAGCCCCGGCCTTCTCCTGGGGCTCCTGAACCCCAACTCCACCTAAATCTGACCTTGTTCCTTCCTGTTCAAAAGCCTTCCATGGCTCCCCAGTGTGCACCAACCCAAAACAAAGTCCTTTCTACGCTAAGGCCCTGCATGCACCCACACAATCACCTTGAAAGGAAAGGAAATGACCACGACAATGCTTAAAACACCTCTCCAGTCTCCCTGCCTGCCCCTCAACCTGCTCTCCACACAGGGCATCTGTCTCTCAGGCCCTTCACCCTGGCCTCCACCCTCCATACCTTCTGAGCATGCTCTTCCCTCTCCCGGAGGTCTCAGTGAACCAGTGCTCCTCCAGGAAGCCCTCCCAATCTCAGGTGCTCTCCGTGCAACTCTGCAGGCAGCTCTCTCCACACCAATCAATGCTAATTCAGTGGACCAGCACACTCTGATCCTGCTGAGCACAAGGAGTGAGCAAGGTTCCCCAGACAGCCAGCCTAGGACAGGATGGGGCCACAGAAACACTTGCATCTACCATACTGACAACCTTCTCTGAGCGTCCTGAGTGGCACATACTGCTGGGGTTAGCAGCAGAGACCCCGGGATGGCTTATGAAGCTCACATTCTGGCAGGGAGGGCAGAATCATACAAACACACAAAGGTCAGCAGGTGGCTGTGAAAGACTGGTAGGGAATGCATTGCTGGAGGCAGAGGTGAGCAGACACCCAGAGTAATCACGGAAGTGAATGGTACAGAAGCACAGAGAAAAGAACTTCAGAGGCTGGGCAACAGCAAACACAAAGGCCCTGAGATGGAAGGAGCTGAGTTCTAGTGGAGCTAGGGAAGAATGTGATGGCCTCCTGGCTGCACCTGGGAGCTGGAGCTTGACCCTGCTTTTCTCTGCTAAAAGTGCAGTTCCAAGTACTCCCTGGAGAGCTGAGATGGAGAATGTGAAGGCCAAAGAAAGGCAGTTGAAGCCGGGCACAGAGGCGCACACCTGTAATCCCAGCACTTAAGAGGCTGAGGCAGGAGGATTGCTGCAAGTTTGAGGCCAGCCTGAACTACACAGTGAGTTTGAGGGCAGCCTGAACTACATAGCAAGACTGTCTCAAAAAACCCAAATAAGATGAAGGGTAGTCAAGAGGAAACAGAACAGAAACCCAGGGTACCCTCACTGGCCCAGTGGTATCACCTCTTGAAACCTTGCAGCACCACGGTTATTTGCAGCACTTAAGTTCCCGCTGGGGGCACAGAGCTCAGCTCACTTTGTGGCAGCCAGTCAACAACCGAGTACATGACTACTAATATTCGAAAGCCAAGGGAAGGCACTCAGGTGTGACCAAGAGTAATCAGGGTTTCAGAGTCCGAAAAGCAGGGCCAGCTGAGTGGCCTTGGGCAGGATGCCCGCAGTCCCAACACCCCACCAGAGGGGCCAGGGCTGGGGACAGGTGAGGACAGAGGCTCAGGGCAGGGAAGCCATTTACCTGGGTCTCCCAGCTGAGAATGGTAGAGGCCCTGACCCAGCTCAGTCTGCCAGAGCCACTTTTTATGGTCTCGTCTCAGCAAATGAGAAGTCGGCAGCAGCTCAGGCAAGAGCAGGGGAGGAACTGGAAGATCCCCTGCGTCCTCCCACTGAGGGTGGCGCCTCAGCCGAGGTGTCTATGACACAGTCCTACAGTGATGAAATACCAGGCAGCGCAGCCAAGGGGATGGCCTGGCCACTGGGGAGCTGCAGGCTGAGGACGCAGCAGGCAGCCCTTACGTGGCCCCATCCCCTCGCTGCTTCCTAGGGTGCCAGGCCTGTGTGTGCAGAGGGCCTGGGCTGGAGCCACAGTTGGTGACCAGATGTGAGCCACCTGGGAGGCCAGGTGAAAAGAACAAAGGCAACTCACAGGGCACTCAATGATTAAGGAACACACATAATCTCACTAGTTTTAGGGAAATGCAGATTAGAACCACCTGCTTAGGACACCTAAGGTTTAAAAAACAAATACCAAGGGCTGGCAAGAATGTAGAGATATCAGAACTCCTATTCACTACCCGTAGAACTGTAAGACAGTTCAACCTCTGTGGAAAACTGGCAGTAAGAATTGTAACTCATTATATGCCTATCCCATATGCCAGCAACGTTACAGTCCCACAGAAGAAAACAGCATGTCGGCTGGTCCGAAGGTAGTGAGTTATCTCAATTGACTGTTCACAGTCAGTACAGATTGAACTCCTTGTTCTACTCTTTCCCCCCTGTCTCATTACTGCACTTAACTAGTCTTAAAAAAAAAATTAAAAGAAAGAAAACAGCATGTCTGTTTCCCAAAAGACACGTACGAGAAGGTCCACAGGACAACAGTGACAATGCTCCCAAACTGCCCACAGACCTGGAGCCCATCCGCACAAGAGTGGAAGAGAAACTGGTGAATTCCTACATGGAATGCGCTGCAATGCAGCAGCTAGTGGCCACACTGCTGATACACACCATGGAGGAAGCGGGAGATCAAGTGGGAGAACTCAGACATGAAATCACACCGCCAGGCTGAGTTTACTCACAGCAAGGCCAGAACAGGGCAGGGAGTACACTCTGTTTAGAGCTGCTTTTCCCGCTCATCAAACTGCACAGAAAAATCAAGGAAAACAATTATCACAAAGGCAGAACTGCTTGTCTGCGAGAACAGAGGGGAGGATTTCTGGGAATTGACAGTGTTCCACTATGGTCATGATGACTGATTCTGCTGCCTGCAGAAAATATCTTTAATGTAACTTTTGGTATTGTTTGGGAGTTCAGATGACTTGGAGGATTCCAAATTGGGCCTCTCCATTCCTAAAGCAGGCCTCTCCTCACCTACTCAGCAAGCCTGCCTCCACTGGCACCCCTTTCCAGGCATCCTGGGTGAAGGACTACAGAGTCCAGGGGTTCTGGGTTTCAGTCCTGGTCTCTGCTGTTTCGGGCTAGTGACACTCCCGGTGCTCCTTCCTGTACACTGACCTCACTGGAGAAGTGGCTTGTGCCCTCAGTGATCAGCTGGGGGAGGGGAGGGGAGAAGGGTCCTCAAGGAAGCTCTGCTGTACTGCTGGTTTATTTGTTGGTTTGGTTTGTTTTTTGGATTTGTTTTCGTTTTTTTAGTGTTTCGAGATAGAGTTTCACTATGTAGTCCAGGCTGACCTCAAACTCCTAGCAATCTTCCTGCCTCAGCTTTCCAAGTGTTGAGATCATGGGCATGTGCCATCACATCCGGCTTATAGTGAGGTATTTTTAAATAGCTGCCAAGTACATGGGTACCACTGACTAACTTATCCTTATGTCTCAAAACACTCTACAGTTAAAGACTTTAAATTATATCTGTGACATTTTTATTTCTCTGTTTGTGTGGCTCATGGTATTTCTCAACAATTTCCAAACTGAACACCCCCTTCCACCAGAATTGTGTCTC